GGTCCTGAGATAAAGTTGCAGTTCGATCATCCTTTAAGGGGTAATTCTAGATATGAGCAAGTAAAACAACATAAGAAGAACAAAAAGCTTAAAAATCCTAAATCAGAGACCTGGAGAGATTTATAAATCAACATGGATGTAGAAACACACTGAGTAAGAGCAGACCAAGAAATATCAGGCATTGTAAATTCCCTAAATCCTGCAATTATGCTGAGGGCATAACTAAGAACCAAGTGATTAGTAACATGTTAAAAGATTAGCATGTTATTTACCATTCTAGCCATATTTCGTATCTCTGAAGAATGGATATTTATCTTATATTCTCTATTCCTTGTGTGTCTGGAATTGTATAATCTATTGACTTCTTGCGCTAACCGTTTAATATGTCTAGTACCCAATATATCATTTGAAAAATGGAACAATCCAATCCCCTGCATTGATCAAGGGAGAAAAGGAAATGACACACATACATGCTCAAAACACAATGAAATGCTAAAAAAATTGATCATATTATCTCCTAAACACAAAGCGTGACTGCATGTATATGAATCATGATTTTCTCAAGATAATTGAAGATATGTATACGTCTTCTCAGTACTTCAAAACACAGTACATTACATTATAAACTTATGATTACCACATGGATTTTGCAATGACTGTTGACGTAGTGCCTGCGGTGCAGGCTTCAACTTCTTCGGACATAAGTTACTGATAGGAAGACCTGTGACCTGCTCATGTTTCTTACGCTGAATTGACAAAAATATAGACGCATTCCTTAGTAAATAAACCATAATACCATCCCCAACCTGCCATACAAAATTTTCACTATAATCAAATTTTCAAAATCCGAACATAAAACTAAATTGCATCATTAAGCACAAGTAATCGATGTGTAACACTAACATACCCTTTCTAATAGAAGACACCAAGCCGAAGAATTTAGAAGCTCCACAATGGGGCTTGACTGATTACACTGCCAAATACAAACAATAAAAAAAAAACATTATATTTTGTATGTCTATAATGAAATTCCATAAATTCAAAATATACATAAAGAAAAAAAGAGTACTTACCTTATCATAACCAGTACATATCACATTGGAAGACAGAGGTTGCTCAAGCATCATCACTTCAATCACCGCTCTCACAATCTGAACACAGTAAAACGAAATTTTTACACAAAAACAACACAAGGAACCAAATATATATTCATGTGTATGACTACGAGTACCTCAATTTGGGACCAATGAGAGTCGGGGGAAAAGTGAGCGAGCGTAGGGGCGCGTTCCCAGACGACGTAGCAGTGGTTGAGGAGGTTGCGGTAATCGGAGGGGTCGTTGGGTCGGAGAATGAACGACATGCCGTTGGGCCCGCTGCAGCTGAGGCAACGGCGGCCCTTGCAAAAACGACAGTGGTCAGGAACTGACGACGAGGAATGAGGAGGGAGTAAGGAGGTGATGGCATCGGCCAATGTGCGCGGCCGGTTATGGAATAGCCGGCGAAGGACCTCCGGAACGCGGCGTTTCTTCCGCATTTTCTCGGAAAGTGGGCAGGAAAATTGGAGGTCTGAAAGTGAACTTTTTTCTTGGTTGGCACAATGGACAGTGGACTAGACTCTGAAGAGACGAGAATATCTTACGAATTTTAGAGGGGTAATAAAAGTGCGCCATTTCAGTTCAATTGTTTTTTTGTTGGGCAGTTCCATTAAAAAAGCGCGGATTAGGTTTGGTCAAACCACTAAATTTTTGTTGTATTACAAACGTAGTTCCCTTCTTTTCTTTTGCGAAATTGTCATCTTTCTCTTTAACCATTTTTTGTGACACTGATGATAAGGTTACCCTTCACGCATTAAAATGGTTTCTATCGTTAGTTTGTGTCAAATATTTTTTTAAAGTGATGATGTGACACATGTGTGGAGCCCACACATCCAATGGTATAGAGTTACGTGGCTTTAAGTATAATATAATATTTTTAAAACATTTTTAAAACTTAAAAAAATTAAGAATTAAAAATATATTATGTAATATTTAAAGTCAAGTGGCTTCATATCATTGAATGTGTGGGCTCCTCACATATGTCACGTCCGTAATTTAACATAATATTTGACTGAAGCTAACAACAGCGACCATTTTAATGTGTGGAGAATAACCTTATGCACCATTAGTGTCACACACCAAAAAAATTGTTAAGAACGAAATATGATAATTTCGCAAACCTCATACACCATTTGTGATTAAAAAAAACCTTCTTTCTTTCTGTTTGGATTCGGGTGAGCAAAAAATTGCACAAACAAAAACCATTCAAACCAAACTAGTATGAGCAGTTTGGTTCAGTCATTACATTTGAAAGGTATAATCTCGATTTTGTGTTGTATGTTATTTAGCAAACCAAAACAGAGAACAGAAAATTTTGGTTTTCACATAAGAAAATCAATTGCAACTTGCCTTACCAAATAACAAGATTTAACTAATACTTTTTGCGTCTTGATTTGAGTGGTCATTTCAATGTTATCTTGGTTTGTGAAACATCTAAGAACCCTAATCCATCTCATTCCATACTCGCAACCTCCAACCCTCTCTTTGCCTTTCATCTCTCTCTAGTTGGTAGAAGCTAAGAGCATCTCCAACTGATATGTCAAACGTGTCACATAGACATTTAACAGCTAAAAATGACATCTCACATTATTCAAACTGATATGTCAAAGTTGATGTGGAATGAAGGCTAGAGGTTGAGATGTTATTTTGACATTCCAAAAGCAAGATGTCAAATGAATATTTTATTATTTTTTCTTTTTAATTAAAAATGAATCAACACTAAAATGTAATAAAATAATAATTTAATTTGACATATTGGGTGAAGTGTTGAGCATGGCAAGATGTTAAATTGCCACATCAACCATCAAATTTTAATTTGATGTTTGGTATTTGACATCTCCCTTGGAGAGACGACTCATTTTTCGAATTAGATGCTTCATTAAAAACGTAGTTGGGCGTGGTGGTCGGTTTTAACCTACAACACTATCGAATTGAATAACGCTTACCCCCTAACTTTGTCAAATTTTATAGTGTTGTCCTTATTAAGTACATTTTTACATTTTCAGAGACCAAATTGTGACGAGAAAAAAAAAAATTCTAGAACCAAAGTTGAACAACCTCTAAAAAATAAGGGCAATTGTATAATGAACTCTTTTGTAAGTAATGTTATTGGTAAGGGAGGGTAAGGTCCAGTTTAGAACCTAAATCATTAACCATACCGACTATGTCATGTAATGATTTTATCAACTCTAACCAACAAAACGTCATCAATTTAGTTCAATTCGATTTACTCGAGATTCTCATCTTGCCCTAGTGCGACATGACATGTGTAGTAAAAAAAAGTATTTTATATTAAATTATAATACCCAGTCCGTCTGACTTTGTTTATTGATAATTTAGGCATTATTTTACTCCAAATCAAAAAGTAATTAAAAGTTTATAATTCAAATGATTAAGTGTAGTTGCTATGCAACTAAAGTTCTAGGTTCGAATCCCGTATCCTCGATATCATTTATATTAAAAGGAAACATATGTTGATTCAGTATTGTCGGAAGTAAAAATGGTAAACTCCCTAACACTTTATGGGGAATTTTGAACATTATCCAAATATGAATATGTATGAAATGCATTGTCGGTGCTTCCTTGAAAGGCATTTGCTTTTTGTTACCAACAAAAGGCATTTGCTTTCGCGGCCCATAAAACGATAATTGTCTCCCAATAGTTTCCCTTTCTAGCCTTTGAACCACAAAAGGACACATGGATGGATACTTTGGTGCCTCAGATTGCAGCCTTTTTTATATTATGCTTAATTGCTTGCGTCCAGATTCACAAAACCGACTTCAAAAGCAAATTGCTCTCCAATTAATTTGGTGCGTGTGTTATGCTTTCAAATTTGCACGAAGTGTGTTTTTTTTCCTTTCTATTTTGTCGAAAATTAAATTCATTGAAAAATAAGGAAAAAATTACAGAGGGGCTGGATTGGAAGTGGGCTGGAACAACCCAACATCCTCAACCCACACTCTTATTGGGGGCATAACCTAACCTAGCACTTACAAGCAAGAGCTTCTCTCCATGTTTTTCCTTTCTTCTTTCTTTTGTTAGTTGAGAGACAGATTATAGAATGTTTCTTAGTCAATAAATGCATAAATAAAGCTAATCAATTTCTTAGAATAATCAAACTAAGTATAGAAATAAACCCTAATCGCAAAGAAAACCCTTTATAAGAGTCCAAAAACACCCCAAATTGAGGAGAAACGAGGAAGAAAAAGCGTTTCTGAGTTGTGGATTTGGCTTAAAATGACGCTTAATGTTAGTGATATGAGTTTGGTAGTTTTTTGTGTGCCTCTTATCAATGTTAGTATTGCATTTTTTTAGCTTGTTGCTTTTGCTATTTAACGTATTAACTATGTTGTTGAAAATTTATTTATTAAATTTATTAGTTTGTTAGTATTCGAAGCTCAATGGTGAGGATTACGTAATGATAAAAGATTCGTGATATTTAAGTTGTATAAAGTAAAAATATGGATTCTCATGTCAGATGTATAAAAATTCTTGGTAAATAGAAAGAGAAAAAGGGCAAAAGGAAAAGAAAAAAACTAGCTTACGCAAATAGTTATTTTTCTCGACTTGCTATAAACGCGGGCCAAGGAATAATTAAGGGGCTGCACAGAGACAGCGAGCTGGAAACCTCAAGGAGCCAAAAACTCACACTCACACAACAAAGTCAGCCCCACAACCCCAACCACCAGTCAGACGGAGAGACTCACACATTCATCATTTCCGTCTCTCTCGCTCTCTCTCTACCTTCTTCTTTGAATTCCCAGAACCTCCTCCTCTCCTTCTCTTCAAATCCAAATCCAAACTTTATACTTCTTTGCATATCAATCTTCAACACCCTTTAAACTCATTTGGGTTTCCATCAAAATCCAATCTTGAAGATCCAATTTGGAGTTTTGGTAAATGATCATGTTGCAGCTGTTCTTCACAGTGGCCTTCTCTGCAGTGCCACTGACTCTGTATGTTCCACCACTCAGAAGCCTAAACCCCTTTGTAGAGACCATGGAGGATCTCTTATCCGAGTCAAGATCATACACCAATAGGGTCTACCCACGTGTACGCCATCTTTGGGTTAGGATCTTGGATTGTTTACTTTGCAGCACAAGGTAGATATACACATATATCATAGATCATCATGACTTTTCAATGGATTTCACTGGTACCATGTAATTGGTTACATCCCACAAACAAACTTCTGAATCTTGTTTTAGCTTTTTGTTTTTGAATTTCTTTTTGTTGTGGTAAATAAGGTGTGATGAAGAGTTGGTTTTTGGTGTTTGTGGTGGTGTTGTTACTTTGCCAGCCGGATGATCTGTTTATGTTGTAAAATTTGTCTTGTAATTTCATGAGAATGTTTTCATGCCATTGCAGAGGTGATATGTTTATTGCTTTGATCGCTTTCTTTTTCGTTGTTGGTTAGATTTTTCAATCTGGGTTTTTTGGGTCTATATCTGAGTTGTCATGGGCAGCTTGGCATATATGGCTTTTCATTTTTATGTTTATAAACAGAAGGAAAGATTCAAACTTATTTCATGTTCCAACATTAGTAGAAAAAGAAATCATAAGGGCTAAGAGCTAGTTGGTTGGCTCGTACTTGTAATTAGGGAAGTAAGAACTCGAATGCCGAATCTCGAATACATGAGTAATTGCTCTTAATCACTTGAGTTACAAGCTAATTACGTATAAATAATCTTAGAAAACATGTAATAAATATAACAGTGGTGACTTATGTTATCCGACACTTGCATTTAGGGTTGGACTAGAACTCGAGTGATAAAATACTTAGCCGACATTTACAATAAGAGTTCGACTTCTGTAAACCCTTACGAATTAAGTTGAGGATAAGGGTACATATGTGATGGCTCATGGTTTTCTTTGAGAATTAATGTGGGATTTTGAGCTGTAATCTTACCCAGTCTTCTGATTATAGCATAAGAAGAAAGAAAAAAGAGTGAAGATTAATGGCTATAAGTATGAGAATGATTTTAACAGATAAATAGATAGATATGAAAGGTATAAAATGCGGCAGATGAATACAAAATAAATGTTCTCATTTGTAACCTCCAATTGTAGGCTTGCAGGCAAGGCCAAAACAAACAAAAAAGGGTTGTGAGGTGGCTTTTTGTTTTGATTTGTATGCGGATTAGGTTGGCAAAGGTTTGGCGGTTTGTCATTGTTGGTTTATGGTTCCCATCTGAAATTGGCACGCCTAAGAAATTAACTTGTATGCTAAAATTGAATGACAAAAGACAAAACGAAAGGGAACCTTCAACAAGTAACCCCCTATGATTCTTGAAACGTTGGCCATGCCATGCGGCTTAAAACCAGAACCTCCTTTTGTTTTTTTTGTTTTTTAAAATAAAATAAAATGTTAAAGAATTGTAACTCATTGTCAAGTAACCGTTGACTTGACCTATTTGATTGGAACCAATGAATTTTATATTACAAATTATAAATAAATCCAATCCTAGACATATATTTATAAAAAATTTAAATACTATTTAAACATAGAAACACACCCAAAATCAACAATTGTATATTTTTGGGTGTGTTTATAAATGGGTTTTGAGTGTGTGTAATGATGGGTTTTGGGTGTATTTATAAAGTGTTTTAGGTGTTGAGTTTTTTTATAATTTCAGCCCCCATTTTGGGTGTTTTAGTGAAACTCCTATTTTATATATCTTACAGGGACATGGCAGCTGCTAACCTCGTTAATCTTTAAGACGAATTCAACACATGGGCAGCCTCTTGTAAGGATAAATTTTTTGGTCCAACAGTGGGATTAAGTCAGTCGTTCACCCCACTCTCACAACTAAGTGGACCCCTTTAGTAGGGTACACGGAAACCCCACTTAGTCATGAGGGTGAATGAACGGCGGACATTTTCCACGGCCAGACCAAAGAATTTCTCCTCTACAAGTCCATAAACTACATGTCCATAAAATACATGTATCAAATTAGAAGTAAGCCATATAACTGAAGGCCTACGGTACATGAAATCCATAAACTCAACAGAAACGGGTCTCGATGGCAAAAATTGAAATTTTATTCATATTGGAACTGACTGAGCCCAGTACAGTTATTGTGTGGTTGGTACATTACAGTTTTATTTATCAACTCCACATTAATCAAGAACAAACCGAAACTATACTCTATAATGGAAAAAGAATCAATGAATCGTAACAAAGCAAAGAGATTAAAGAATAATGAGCGTCAAATTCTTGCTCAATGTTGTCCGTTTTTAGTTGGATAGCGTTGTGCAAGGTTTTAGAAACCAAAAAAACGTCCATGGTTCTTGCTTCTCTTCCATCAACAATGCAAGCAGTTTTCCCTTTCTCTGTGGAATCCTCCTTGGTCACTTTATTGTTTTGCTCTGCGTCTGCAAGGATTCCCCTTTCCTGCTCATTCAATATAAGTAGTCAATTAGGAAAACTGACAGATTGATTTATATCTAAGCCAGCACATAAGTCTCCTCCATGAGGGGATCTTAGTTCAAGCAGAAAATCAAGTCAAATCCCAAATACAATTGAAAAATCACAAGTAAATTAATAAGGTAATGCATAAATTTACAAGTATATGAAGCATGGTTGTTATGCATAAAATTAACAAAACAGGCCAGGGTGAGGGGCAAATATAAGAGGATCATTATGCAGGCGTAATGTAATGGCCAAAATCATATTCATATCTACCATAGTTTATGATGATAAACTGGAAGAGGATCTTCTGAGCTTTAAAGAAGGAAGGATGCAGAACAGGTGATTACTAGATTGATTTATGTGCTGTTCCAGTGTCCATGATTGAAATTTTAGTTTCATCATTTCAACTAAGATAGCTATGCTATAAAGTTGAAATGGTGAGCATTCAAGGATCAGTTTCCAAGCTTTTGCAGAAAAGAAGACACGGATATCTCAGTCCATGTTAGAGACTGGCTTGACTAGATCAAAGGGCAAGCTTATATTACTTGGACTAGCTTTATTCAGGTTTTGTTGGGGCAGTAAATATATATATATGGGTGCTATTTTATTTCTTCACCAGGTCATTTAGCATTTTGTTGTTGCCATAAAAAGAGATTATCATCAACTAACTTACAACCCTTACATGTAAATTTTCGGTCCTGTATTTCCTTCCCCACCAACTTTTGTAAATCATTGTTAGAGCAAGAATCAGAACCATAGTTTAATTCTTCATGCCACTGATCTTGGTAAAACAAAAAGAATATAATATGAAGAAGTAGAGGGACTACATACCATCAGCTTGGACTTGGAAGCTTGTGAAGGTGTCAGTTTGCTTGGGGGCCTCGGGGCAGAAAAGCATTGAGGAGAGGGAGGGTTGGTTCGGATTTGCAACAAGCTCTCCCCTCCTTTGCGTTTTACGTTCTCTAAATTCAGAGAGATTGGGATGTTCTCTGTCTCGTCAATTCTTCTGCATGAGGTGGTCATCAAAAGTTAACAATCCTTTCAACCATCAAACGAGCAAGTTTAGGAAAAAAAACATATATCAATGGCATTCAAGGACCCCTTAGAAAGATCAATGTCATCAGAAAGTTTAATCATAAAATTACAATGACTACCAGCAAGTTTGTACAGTAATTGGATTGTTATCTTTGCATATCAGTCTGACAGTTCTCGTCATATGACTAGCCAACTAGTCAACTTCCAGCCTAGTTATAACAAAAAGAATCCTTGTGCATCTCTACTAGTATAAATGAATTGTATAACAAAGTACAATTAACAACATCGCAAGGGGGAAACTGACAGACTGAGACTCCTATTCCTAAATGAAGTATCATGCCCTAAAAGTTGGTGCAAGAAGATCCTTCCATTTTGCATCAATGTCATGGCCTGCTCTTAGCAATCAATTACTTGAAATTAGATGGTCCTAACCTAGGTGTTTCAACATTTTAAAAGCATTTCTTTCCTCCATATCAACCATATTAGGTGATCATATATCAACTGCCTCAACTGTTTCTACCATCACAACCGAAAGTGACCATATTCGCAGAACAGTATGCAAGTGTAGGTCTCTTCATACTTGCATATACAGAGACGCGTAAATATAGAGACGTGCATCATAAACAAATGCATGTACATTAGAGACAGAAAATAGAGGAAGAATAAACTTACTTGTTCCTCCTCTGCTTCTCCTTGATAATGCTCCCCTCCATTCCTTCAGTTTTCACCTCAAGCAATGGCATGTTCTCTGTTTGCCTCTGAGTTTTCCCTTTACCCACCTCAAGGAATGGCATTCTCTCTGTTTGCCTCCTGGTTTTCCCTTTACTCACCTCAAGCAATGGCATCCTCTCAGTTTGCCTCCCATTCAACTCACCCAAAACCTCACCATTACACTCCTCCTTCTTCACCACCTCTTCTTCCTTCAAACCCCCTAGGCTTTTCCTTACATCCAACCCCTCCACATCCTCTTTCTCCCTCGCTCTCATTGCCATTCTCTTCAATTCGCTGCAGAAGTCTGTAAGCTGATTCAGAATATCTCGCCCTGCAAATAAATTCCTCGCTGACAGCGTGCTTCTCAGCCTCGGAAGCACCTCACTATTCTGCGGTGTGCTTTCAATTGGCTGCTTCTTCTCTGCGCTTGATTTGATGGTTGCCTTCATGGCCTTTGCTTGGTTAATTGGAAGAGTTGATAGGTTGGGGTTCTGATTTTCGCTGTCTTCCTTGACTCTTGAATTATTAATCGGGTAAATTGAAGACTGAGTTAGCCCTCTTCTCTTCAATTTCACATCTCTAAATTAGAAAAGAAAATAAGTTAAGTTCTGTGAAAGTTTAATTATATTGTACCGTGAATACAAGGGTTCATGGGATTTTCTTGTTACCTCTGGATTTTATCACCAAGTGGAGGAACTTCAGAAATAACAGCTGAGCTTGAAACCTTCTGGAAATCAACAAACAAAGAAATTGGGAAACTTCAGAAAGAAATTTTTAAAAATTAATTTTTATTTTTATTTTAAAAGAAGCAATTATACAAAATCTCTGCTTGGTAGCTCTGAAATGAAAAAAATGAAAAATCGATCTTATGCAGTGGTTGGAACTGCAAAGTGAAACTGGATTTGTGTTTTCAAGGCAAATGTATGCCAAAGAATCAAAATCTTGATTTTTCCTTTTCCTCACATTTTCTTAGCAACCAAACAGAGTACCAACAAAACGAGAAAGCAAAACCCTCATAATAAAACCAACCAAAAAGAAAGAAAGGCGGTAAAAGTAAGAACCTTGGGAGGTGATGATTTGAGAAAATCTTCAGCCGTCTTTGGATGCTTGCATTCTGCAACAAGAAAATAATGGTCAATAAAAATTAGTATAAAAAAGGAAGAAGAATCGAAGTAAATTTGTAATGATTTAAGCTACCGGGTCTGCAGAACCAGGCCTGGTCGTCCACAGAGTTTTGATCTGGGTTCAAGAAATCGAACCACTTGGGTGCGTTTATTTGCTCATAGGCTTTATCCTCTACAAATTTCCATTCTACGTTTTTCCAATCAATTTTTGCTGGTTCCATATCACACACAGAGTGACACAGACAAAGACCCAGAAACAAAGCGAGCTGTACACTGCAAGAGAGAGAGAGAGAGAGAGAGAGAGAGAGAGAGAGAGGTGTTGACGTTTTGGGTTTTGGGTTTGGATTTGGAGGAGAAGTGAGGGGAGACAGTGGAAGAAGAAGTGACCGTTACAGGAGATGGTGAACGTTGGTGGGGTCGGCGAGGGGTTCTACTAAATTTTCGACCGTTGGAGACTAATTAAATAATTTATTATTGGGGTCGCGGCTTTGGCTGAAGTGAGGATCTAGTTTTTGCTCTGACCAGGTGGGATTGCCATTCTTGGATCTGCTCGACTCTGCAACCAGCTGGTTTCGGAGTTACACGTGGCTTTTAGCTTATTTTCCTGTGATTTACAAGAGTTGCTAGATGGAATCACATTTTAATTTAGGGATATAATTTAAAAACCAAATAAATTTTGTTTTTAATTTTTCCACAAACCAAACCTCATAAAGGAAATAAAATTATATTTTCTGGTTATTTTCATTAAATTACCAAAAATAAAAAAGAAATCTCACATCACATTTCTCATTTCCATAAGTAAATTTTCGTTTGTGTAATGTATGAATGTTTATAATATATATCTTCTCCCTCTTCACAAAACCCAAAAGTGCAGTCAATTGCGAACAAAATTTGATCATCAAACTTCAACCAATTTCTTATTTGAATGATATGTTCCATTTAAAATAGCCATATGCTCTAAGTCTCAATTGTTTAATGTTGCATTCCTTTTATTATTTAATTGGATTAAATGATTGAATTAAGGATGATTATGGACTTAAGGTCCCAAAACCAAATAGAGCTATGTGAGCCGTTATTCGTTAGATGAATGAGTTTGATTGAATGGATGAGTTGTAACTAGTGATTGACTTATAAATTAAATATCGGTTTGTATGCTTCTCTTCTCTGGGAGCTTCTACAATAGGAGTTTAGAGTGAGGAGCTTATTTGAGGGGTTCAATCCCACCATCAAGCCATTTAAAAGGGTATCCCACCATCAAACCATTCAAAATGTTTAAGTCCATTGATTTCCTCATATTTGTTGATGGTGGGATTGAACCCCTCAAATAAGCTCATCACTCTAATTTCCTCATTATAGCCTTTCTGCTCCTCTCTTATTCTCTGATGTAAATTCTATCTCCCTTGAATTGTAATTCCCTCAAGGCACATTGGACTTTGAGTTTTCTATTTCAATTAGTTATGTAATAGGAAGATGGAGGCCCGAAGAATGAAACAAAAGGAGAAAGAAGATTAGTTAGAGATTCTAAGATTAGTCTTGGGTCCAACTCCCACCAACATTGAATGTTTTAAAGTAGTTAAGCTGTGTAATAAAATCAATCACCCACCTTAGACCAAGATTCAACATCTTGACTCGATGTTGAATCGAAATTATAAGTCTATAATAATTCATGAGCCTATAGACAACTATTTAACCATACTTGAGGAATGCAAAGCATTTCGTTAATAGTAACACATAATCCCAATTTCAAAATAAAAATCATTTTTATGAAATCAATTTAGTTTTTGAAACAAAATAGTGGGAGTATACTATAACTATTAATATGCTTTATGGAGTAATAGTTGTCCTAGGACAATATGTTTTAAATTGTTTAAACAAAATTAAAAAAATGAGACCTAAAACTCCCTCAATCAAATGCTAATATTAAGTCAATAAACGAAAGACATTTTGATGTATTTGAGTGGCCTTCCACCATAGTAAAACTCCTAATTAAGTGTGACCAATACATAAAGGCTGTACTCAGTTATAAGGGGCCTAAAACATAGGACTCTCACTTAAAAGGAGGTTCATTTCATACATATGATGTTACAATGGTAAATAACAAGTATGGCCAATATATTATTAAGATGAGGTCATATTTGAAACTTTACACAAAGCAAATAAGGCGGGCTAAGAATTAACTAGTACAATGGTGCTTCATGATAACATTTGGAAGTTCGCATTTGCTAGAGGTTGAACGAAATGGGCAATCACTTCATGATGTGAATGGGCAAGCGCGCCCTCTCTTTACTATATGAGTAATCCCAATGATCTATTATGGTGCGATGATCCGAATAATAGAGAGCCTTCCATCCCACTAAGAGTTTTAACCGAAACTCTCAGATTTAATCTTGAGGGATGTGGAATTTGCCAAAAATAGTGGGAGATACTATTTGACTTAATGACCCAAGTCAATAGTAATCTAAAAATCAATCTAAGACTTGGCTATATATATATATATATATATTTGTAGATATGTCTGTAATCGCATTCGCTAAGATCCTAAACAAACACTGTCTATAGGGCCACAATTTTCTATATGAAGGCTATATTGTGTTGTTCTAAAAAACGAGGTTCATTTAGACATCTAGTTTATCAAAATTTCATTAGATATTCAACGGAATACTTTAAAGAAAATTCTATAGCCTAAAAACAAAACCTTTCAAAGGATCTTATGGTTCAAAGACGTGATGTGCATTACAAAGTACCATACTTGAAATTAAAGAGAAAAAGATAGATATAAACATATTTTAATTTGTATTACTCCACAAATAAGTCATAGGAACATGAATATAAATTGTTGTCTGATTAACATAACCAACATTCATGAACCCTATAGTTTATTACCTACGATAAACTATAGTAAAATGGGTACAATTCAAATCTAATGTAACAACTCTCATAAATAGCACGCCCCTCCTTTCATTTGATAACCACGATCTATAAGTTCAATTACTGCAACATGAAGGCTCTTTTTACACTTCGTGCTAGAAAGGTTCCTAGTACATTCCACGATACCAAAAAGCCTCATCTCTTCTAACAATTTTACTGACCCTTGAGCTTTCAACGACCCATTAAAAGCTATAGAACTTAATTGAGTGAACAACTTATTGAGTTTCTCTTTAACCAACTTGGGACTATTTTAGCATTCAAAAACTATTTTTATTGCTTCATCCATTGTTGATTACTTGAGAGTATAAGTATGATTGCATACACATAACATTCCTCCAAGTATATTCACATTGATTTCGGTTAAATGTTTCATTGTTGTAATATTGATTTAAACTATATGCTTCAAGTTCAACACTTCTAGTTTAATAATCACAACATTTGGTTTCATTTGTCTAGCTTAATCATCATTTGTGATTAAGAAAGATGACTTTGTGAAACCACAACTCACTTCATACATCAAATTATGTGCAACTTGGGCTAGGTGCTCTTGCAAAGACTTGAAGAGGATTTGTTGCTAAGAGGTAAAGAAAATGTGCTTGCTGAAAGGTTAGATTGTAGCTGCCTATAAGTGATAGTTTGAGCTAAATCTTCTTTCGGTTTCTTATACTTCTTAACTGAGTAAATCAACCATGCTTTCTTTGTGGAAGAAAAAATTACTGGGGCCTCATACTGTCATTTCCAGAAGACTGAGGTCTGCAAGCCAATGCCCAAGTGGAGCAAAGTAAAAAATTGTCTAAAAGCCCAAGTGAATACGTTGATGGGTCAAGAGGATCAAAATGAACCCAATATGAGGTACAATTCTAAGCCTTAGTTAACCTCACATATTTAAATAATAGCGATTGGTGGTTGGATTCTGTCTGGAAGGTGGCATTTCTAATCTGAATCTCATATTCACTTATAGGAACGTTGAATTATATGGCTTGTTTGTTCTCTTTACTACTTCAGCAGAACGTGTTAAAAGACAGAACAAAAAGTACGGGAAGACCGTAGTTCAACTAGTCTATGTATAAGAAGAGAAAAAAACGAATTCTAAGGAAAATAAATTTTCAACTTGAAAATGAGCACTGGTTTTGCCTAATCTTTTCTTCCCGACTGATGCTTTAATGCCTTGATTCCTCACTGGAAACCTCGAGGTTGCAAACTGGGCATACCTAAACAAATACAACAAAAGGAAATGAGAGTGAGTTTGCAGCCATCGAATTACAAAATGAACATAGCAACCTTCTGAATTCTGAAAGGCTAGATTTTAAGCATTAGCCAACCTTGTTGATACCGAGCCATTTGCTGATGCACTCACTATGGTAAACATGTTTGCATGGCAAGTTGATTTGTCGATCTCCTCTTTTATACCTCATCTGGCAAATCACACACCTGCTTTTCCAAAACTAGTGTTAATGGGCAGATGCCAAAAGCTCAAAAGAAAAAGAGGTTTCCCATCTCTCTCTCTCTCTCTCCTCAAGTTTTCTGAAACTGAAACTGCTAAACGATAAGGGAAAATATGTTCTTCCTCATGTTACCAATCAGCACTACCTTTTCAATAACTTCTACTACACAAAGTGAACGACTTATCAAATAAAGGAGACCAATTGGGGCACAAACTTGTCCATTTTATCTCAGCAATTTTATGCCAATATTATTTTCTTTTTCTTTTTTTGTGAAAACAGTGTTAAGACAGTCACCAAAACCAAACAGTAGCACCAGATATTTTACATCTTTTTAAGGATAAGGTAAGAGGGTCCTTCTTTAGAGGTTGTTAAGACAACTCTTGACGAGAAATGACATTCCCAGTCACTATAGACTTCTAAAGTGCATTGTTAATGATGATGATAAGATAAATCAGCCTCTTTCACAAGTAGTCCAAATATATAGAGTTCAAGCAGGAAAAATTTGTCATTTCTGGTAAGGTAAGCTTTTATGACAAATATCTGCCTTAGTATAACAAAATGATTTACCAATAGAACCCTACCAAACTTGTTGTAATTCCAGAGTGTCTAGAGAGGAAAAATGAAAAAGATAGATGCAAATGCATTTACTTCAGAGATGAGGACAAGAAAGGCAATGAAAAGGTAAGGTCTGCATTTAGGTTTACTTTTGTAGGCAGATGCCAAGAGTTAGAATGTTACCTCTCTCCAGATTTCTTTCTTGAGAAGAAGCTTCCACACTTGTATTTTGATGTTGGAAGCAAACTAATAAGTTCGTCAGAAAGACCTCGGCTTTGAGTGCCAACTGCCTCACCCAAGTCAAGTAATTCCTGCAACCAACATAAAATAAAACATATCGATAATGTTCATGTAAAGATAACATTCATATAAAGCTGGTAAAAATAAAAGAGGTGGTAATATATAAAAGAGGTGGTAATATACAAGATACGCTTGAAGTTTATAAGGAACCCACTTGTCTTTAGTACCCCCATTGATTTCGAACTTTCATTCATGAACCAGCATTATACTAAAATTTTAGGTAATTGAAATTCAGTCTATGTTTCCAAAAATAAACCCTCAAACCCGAATGTCACAAAAGGACGATGACAAACCTTGCCCCAAGTATATTAAGCTTCTATACAGAAAAAGTAGGTGACCTCAGTATGTCTCATACCCTAGCCAAGGTATACAGAAGTTTATCGAATATTGCAATAATTTGCTATGGTATGTATATCAAAATATCACCAGCCTTGGTATTGAGACATAAAAGATAAGAACTCATTCACCTGTTTACGTTTATCATATTATACTAGTTTCTGAAGCCTCTAAAGTACCTACGGTTAAAATCTTGTTAATGCACAATATTTGTGGTTTGCGTACAATGAAAACAGTGTACCCCTTGATTTCAGAATCTATAGAATCATGAAAAGCCAGTTTTATACACTAATAACTTGAAAGAAGCAGGCGAACAAAGTTTAGGGTGGGCATGAATGTGCAACTTCCCAGTTTTGTGTTAATGCTTAATATTCCTGATGTAGACCAAAAAAACAAAGGTTTGTGTTAATGCTTAAAATTCCTGATGTAGACCAAAAAATCAAAGGTAAAGAAGTTCTACTTCCAACAAGATATACTTCCATCTGAAAAAAGCATGCCATAGCAACAATGCAGGACAGTGTGATAATGTATACATAACAAACCTCATAGGTCATGTTATCAGGATCAATATCCTCTTGCCATACGACCTGCAGAAATGCAGAGAACAAAAGGCTGAATTTAACATAAAAACAGTGCAGGAATTCAAATTTAAAATACCTAGGTGCATTTATTCCAAAACAACTTAGTACTGGACTTAGTGCACAGTAAATATGCATAAAAACTGACCATATGTAATATAGCAGAAGGAAAACATGAAACTGCACAAACCACAAAGCAAGATCCATACCTGAGAAGTATTTGTATTTTGCTGATTCTGAAGGCCTAAAAAGGAAAATAAATTTCTTTATGGTTAGAGATATAGTGTTCCAATGACTGGTCAAAAATGACTTCAGAAAACAAGAATGAAGTAAAGCTTCAATGAAAAGCAAATGAAATAAGGACATTGAAGATCCATGGAGAAATAAATTGCAACAAAATGCACTTTTGGTTTTAACAGCCAGTGAAAACTGCCATGTGAAATATCAAGGAAAAATGGTCTTTCACAACTCCTATTGGCCGGTAGCATAATATTTATTTGAGTCCATACAATAAGTGGGATAATATTAGGCAGAAGTAAGTTCTGACTAACATTCTTCAGGTACAGCTTCTGCGACTGCATCTTCTTCTTCTGGATGTGAATCAATGTTTGCAGGCTCTTCTGAATTCATCACTGAAGGATGTTCCCAAGTCCTCCTGCTGACATCCATCCTGGGCAAATGATCATTTACCTCATAATAATTACCGTAATAAGAATTACTCCCCGGACCAGAGGGTCCAAATTTGTATGAATGCATATTCATTGACCAGTATGCAGTTTCCTGGACAGACAGAATATAAAAATAACACTTCAGCATAGCCAAAATTTCAGTTCCTCAAAATTATACCGTATTTCCCTTAGAAAAATGATAAAACGATACGGTGACATCTTGAATACAACTCATAGTGTTCTGTATAGTTCAGAAAATTTGTGCGAAAACTCAAAGTTGACAATCCAAATATACATAGAACAAAAGTAATATACGTCAGAACATATCATCTTCCCAATTGTTTCAAAATTAATTGCTGTAGGAAACAACATCTTGCACTAGAAACTACAGATAAAAACGTGAGCAGACTTGGCCTTGCTTCACAGTGATAATGATCATGACAACCTCATTAACTTGTGAGACAAACAAAAAATTCCATGAATTCCATTAATGATCATTTTAGACTTTCCTTTTATCAAAAAACAAACAATTTAATGCATGTAAAATAGAAAGACTAAACAAATGCATCAAATGCCAAGTTCACAAGCAAGATGGATATGAAACAACCTTACACTATCCCATTGCCAAAAGCATGAAGAACCTAATGAGGCAGCGAACAACATGACATCACAGAATAACTTTCATAACAAAAGTACGGATCCAAAATGGATAAATCAAACGTGCCTGATCATGCATCGGCATGGCGTGGCCGTAGTTCATCGGTACATGGGTAACACCTCCAAAGAAGTCCATGAAGCTTTCAGTAGGCGTGTAAGGAAAGTCGGTGTCTATGTATTGCACATCCATTTGTCCATTCCCGTTCATTTTTGCACCACTAATTAAACTGAGATTCACATAACAAGCTACAAAACGGAGATGAAATCCTTCAAGACTTGCTCACCAAAAAAAACAAATCCAAATTTAAAGAACAAGAGAAACTTTCACAATTTATTTATATTTGTGTATGTATGTTGTATGTGTATATAGCGTGGTATTATGCTCATGGACTGAGTTGTCTAACTACAAATTAATTTAAAAAAATAAAAATCGTTTTTTCCAGCATTGGAAAATAATGTGTGACAATGTTAAAACATATATTCTTGAAATTTGCCAAATTTAGGGCAAAACAAGCACATGCTCAGAAAGACTGAAGCAGAATTTAAAGCCCCGTTTCATCTCCTAATTTTGTATTCTTGTTTGGCTACCAATAAACTGCACGAAAATCAAAGAAATCAAAGCTTCCATACTTTGAAGAAATAAAATTTTCCTTCTTTTTGTTTTGTTTTTCTCGGTAACCAAACGCACGAGAAGGCTTTGGTTAAGAAACGGTACCTCATTCAGCCAAAAAACTCCCTTCTCATTTTGCATGACACCGCAAACAAAAAAAAAAAAAAAAAAAAAAAAAAAAAAAAAAAAAAAAAGAATGAGAAGAAAAGCACATACAGAAAGAAACAGAAAAAGAAAAAAAAAAAAGAAGAAGATAATGAGCTCATCTTTAATTTGTTCAATTACACAATTAACAATAAAAAAACGAAATGCTTGAACTCGCAGAGAGAGAGAGAGAGAGAGAGAGAGAGAGAGAACATACATTGATGAGGTTGGTGGAGAGAGAGAGAGAGAGAGAGAGAGAGAGAGAGTAGAAATGGGGGTTTTGGTTTACACTTCGCTTTGCATACACAAGAGACACACAGAAGACTACTGTCTCTTTCTTCTCTCTCAGCGAGCGAGTACCTGTGTCACTGTGTGTGAGAGAGACTCTCTTTTTCTTCTCTCTCTCTAAAGTAGTTGTGTATTATCCGTAGAGAGAGAGAGAGAGAGAGAGAGAGTGTGTGTGTTGGTTTGGTTGCTGTTGTTGCGTTTGGGTTTTATTTATGTGCAATCTATTCTATAATCCATCTATCTTTTCTGTTTTATGCAGCAGAAGCCTATATGTACTTTGCAGAGCAGCTATAGATTATAGATTTTGATATTTCATTTCACAAATAATACTACTAATATTATATTGTCACTGTCTTAGACGGCCATGGCCATGATGCTTGCCCACAGTTTTATTTTATGTGGTAATTATGATCACACTTAACAAAAACCATTAACCGAGTTGAGTATTTCTATTTAATCAATCGCGAGACCCGGGATTTGAATTTGAGAATTCTTTCGGTATTTATAAGAGAAATGTCATGTAAAGACTTGACCTCTTTTCTCTTTAAAATTGTTATGTTCATTATTAACATGTTACAAAGCTCAAAGTGACAAATGGAAAATAGAAGTAATAATATTTATCTCCTCATCAGTCACTCAAAAGAGCCGTTACTTGTGGACAAATTGATAGTTTCCAAGTTTATACTAGTTTGGATAGTGGGGAAAAGAAAACAAAGAAAGAAGAAAGTGTTTTTACCTTAGAAAATACCAAAAAGAAAAAAGAAAAGAAAAAAAACCAGAGGTTGGCATTGAGTGATTGACCAAGACAGAGGTAAAAAGCCGTTTTTACAGCCGGTGACATCTGTTTCTGTTGGGCAGGCAGGGCAAGCCGCACTCACCAGAAGCAAACCCGTCTGTCTCTATTCAATCTTTGCCGTACAGCTCAGCTCAGATCAGCTCGAACTGTGCTGTAAAATCTTCGAGGTTTCTGATCCCTACAATTTGTTCACCTAAAAGCAAAAGTTGTCTGGTCCCTATTCCCCAAACAGCTTTAAAGTGGAAAACAGGATAAGCTTAATTAATAACTAAAGTACCCACAATCGTAAACAAACTTTGGTCCCAACAACCCTCTGGTTTGAAGTACCAAATTTAATTTCCCATGTCCTTGTTTCTTTAAGACTCCCATAAATAAACTACGGTGCAGGGTCAAGTTAGGAAGGATAAATGTTTCGAATGTGTTGCTGTCTCTTTTGAGGGGGAAATGGAGCATAGTTTCAACTCCTCTCTAAATTTTAATTTACGAGCTCATTTAGAAAGTCACTGGATAATCAATTTAGGAGTTCATTGACACGTAACTTCTTTTATTTACTTTGTATATAAGTGATATTGAAAGAATGTGAATTTTCTCACACGCATACTGGTCTGCAAATCAATATCATTTCTACTCGGCACGTAACTTGATTAGAAATATTTCAAAAGTCTCTTCGGCAACTAGACTTTAAAATATTTTAGTCTTCATTGGTAATCGCTGGGGATATATAATCTAAAGGGTATATTTAAGTAAGGTCCACAAATTTAAATGCCAGCTTTGAACTTTTGAATGAGGCTTTTGAGTCATTACAAAATTATGTAATTGAACTCGTTGAAGGGCACTCCTTCATTGGTTGGTTTCTTTGAAAATAAAAATATACACCAGGTTGATTCTTCCCAATATGGGTCCATTGAAAGCTTTGTTTGTACGCAACGCAAGGAAGATACAATAGAAAATGATCTTGAGTCTTGAGCCCTAGATTTCGGTGCTCGTGTATGTGGTTGGTGACCTGTGTCCTGATCCCGATCCCCATCAGTTATACAGTAGTCTTATTTATAGGTTTTACAAGACGTGGGTATCAAGGCTGCTTGGTCCAAAAGTAAACTAATTAATTATAAAATCACACATAAATAATAAACGATATCCTAAAACTATTTAAATAAGAAAATAACAATATATCATGAAATAACTAATTAAATGGTAAATATCTATCTTGATCCACCCCTATGCTCTTGCATCATTGACCCTTTGAGCCACTGGCGAGTTGTTGTTTTAGCATTTCTTTTTTTTGTTTCTGAAGATCTATAACATTTTTTTAAAAAAAAATTGCAGAAAAATATTTTAACTTGAATTAAGTCAATACTTAAACCAATGAAAGAATCTTTGGGTATTTGATTCTCACTCCAAATATGGATTGTCTTATACATGCATATATATAGGCATAACCATAAAGTGATATCCAGAGAAGTGTTTGAGATTCTACTAATTTGTTTGAACTTTCCAACTTCTCTGATCGTACAACAAGTTGGCTGGTCCATCAACAATTTTTTTTTGTCCATCAACAATTTGAACAGCAAAAGTAAATACAAGTTGAGCGGCCTAATAATGTTCTCTTGGAAGACTAATATTGTGAGACTCGGGAACTAGACCGTAAATTCAAATGAGAATCAAGTTTATGAGTGTTTTAGATTCATAGCTCGACAACATGAGCAGCTTATGTTGCAAAGACAAATTGACAAAAGAAAAAAAGAAAAAAAATTGGTTAGTGTCCGCTTGGCATTGTTTATTTGGGGGTCATAATAAGTGATTATTTTGAAATTTTTGAAAGCATAGATTCCAAAATCAATTTTGAGTCTTTAAGAAGAACTTGTTTTTTTTAATTAAAGAAGGATTATTATTTTATATATAAGTGATATTGGAAGAGAGGAATTCAAAGACAGGACCTTAGATGCAAAGCTAACTGCTCGTTGCCACTTTGAAACTACAAATCCCTTGCAAAAGAACTCATTCATGAACCGGCTCATGCATTTATTAGGTGTGTGGGTGATGAACTTAAGCATTCAATACTAATCCACCAACCTATGGTTCCATTTTCAATCAAATTTGTGCGCTTAAATTTTAAAATTTGGAACCCACATGCCACAAGAAGTATGTGACATTTTCAACTCTCTTTCTGTCATTCAACCAATAGAAAAATTCATAAAATCCAGCAGTTCTTGGGACCGCAGGGACATACTGGAACAATATTTATAACATAATAAAAAAGGAACCCAGAGACAGATAAAAAGAAGAGAAACCGCTGTTCATCAATATTATATTAATTTCGTAACATAAATATGTTGGTTAATCTGGTTCATAAAGCTCATTCAATGTTAGAAGTTCAATGGGATGATGGGGAGGGACCATACTAGCACTTGCCCCACAAGCAAGGAATTCACGGGGCTTCCAAAAGCTGGTCAAAATTATACAGAAAAGGGATTTGAGGCATCTAATACAAGACACTGTTTTATAACAGTTATTCCAAAGGATCGATGTCGATGACTCAACTCCATTAGCTAAAGTTACTTGGGTTTTTTTTTGTTTTTTTGTTTTTTTTTTATAACAGATTGGTTTGTTTTAGACCATCATTTGCAGCTAAGGATTGGTTTAGATTGGATAACCAACCAGATTCTAGGTATGTTGAGGGAAAAAAATGGAGGTCTAACTTCCAAATTTGGTCTAAGTTGTAGAAGACGATGAATCGTTTTTTTAATACAAGCGATATTGAGAAAGAGGGAAATGAACTTAGGACATTGGATGCATGGGTAAATGCTCTTAACCACTTGAATTACAAACTCCTTGCAGAAGAGCAAAATAGTCATTAAGCAAACATACACATTTTAATCCCTAAAAAATAGTAAGATATCGACACCTCAAAGTACCAGATTGAATGTATCATAAAAAGTTTTGTAGCATTCGTTATCTCTACTGGTGCATTGAAATGAGAAATCAAAGAAGATAATCTGATAAGCATATGACATCATCTCTTTGTTCGTTGGTTTTTGGATGGATGGCATGGAGAAGATCATCTGATAAACATGACATCATTTTGGCTTTTGGTTCTTGGGTAACTAAAACTGCAACTGAGAAAATGGTTGAGAAATATATTTGCTTGCGGATAAGTGGCAATGAGGGTAAAAAAGAATGCCCATGATACCACACATCCTTAGGTGTTTAATGCAATAACATGCATCTTATTTGCGAAATATCTTTCGAAAAGCAAGCACGGAAGGATTCATCAAAATCTTGTTTTAGGATTCAAAGAAACTGAAAGAGACTAAAAACAGTTTGTGGAAAAGCCAAGAAGCTTAAAACTTTATGTTCATTACGGATTTGCATAAACCAGCATTTGTTGTATGATGAGATCATACTGATTTGAGAAGCAATTATTTGCTAGACCAACCAAATTGTTCTGGGAGTACAACAATTTGACATCATTGAAGGAAAAAAGATGTATTTGACTTCATAAAGTAGAAAAAAGCCAAAACAAAAAACACACATAAATAACCTGCAAATCATATGAATGAAACTCCAAGATAAGTGGCATTTTCCACCACTCAATAATCTGGTTTTATGGGAACAAAACTCAATCCCATTGTAAAAATCGGTTTGGGATTAACTCCCCTATAACTGAATTATTTTAAGGAAAAAATTGCCGAAACAAGTTCTTCAAACTCAAAAAGATTTTCATCACCATCTAATAATGCTATCTGGCTTGGGAGAAACTACATTCTTAGGCACCACCAGATCCATACTTCTTCCCGAACACGATCAGCTGTAGCTTATCATAACCAGAAAGGACACCAGCACCAGCAATGGCACGGAGGATGTTGGCACCAGCACCCTTAAAGAGAGACTTGGCACCCTCATTCTTCAAGATCTGCTTGAAGGCATCCAGGGAGCTCTTGTACTTGACAGCTTCACCGGAGGTCATCATCATTCTTCTGCGAACAGTGTCAATTGGGTAGGAAGCAAGACCAGCACCATTGGTGATGAGCCAACCAAGGGCAAAGCTGGCAAAGAAACTATCCTGTAGTTTTTAAAACAAACAAAAAAGCAAAACGTTAAAAAGTTGAAAGCGAAAGGTTTAAAATTCATATTGCAGTTCATAAGGTCAATAAAGCCAATCCAAACAATTATAGGGAAAGACAACTTATCCTTAACTCAATTAATTGAAAATAGACAAGGGCTAAGAGGTCAACAAATTGCAACATTGTGACATACGATCCTTTATAGGACTATTTCTCATGCTTCACAACTGACACCAAGTAACACAAGAGGAAGCCAAAAATAACAAGCAGAACAATTGACAAATCGTACAACAATATGCCAAAAGACTTCTAATTTTGAGAAAGTAAAATAATGACTAATGTAAGAAAAATTGTGCCATAAGTATGCAGACAAAACATATGATAATTACGCAAAAAAGCAACGAAAAATATCATCATTCATGCAACAAGCCACGTTAGTAAATGCAACCCTATCATAAGACCATATAACCATGAACCAAGAGGTTATGAATCAGAGTATTCCACTAACCTGCAAACCTCCAGTCAGGACCACAGGCTTCAATGAATCATACAATCCAAGTAGAGACCACGGTACACAATAATACCAACACAAGATATGTTGAATCCACGGTAAAGACCAGCAAGGCCATCAGATTTTAATGTCTTCCTGTAGACATCAACAAGACCATTGAATTGTCGTTCTCCTCCCTTCTTTGCAGCTTTAGCATCATTAGCCAAACGGGTACGGGCATAATCCAGAGAGTACACAAAGAGAAGGGAAGAAGCACCAGCAGCACCTCCTGATGCCAAGTTACCAGCGAACCATTTCCAGTAACCATCCCTGTCTTTCTTGAAGTTGAATAGCCTCTTAAAGTAATCCTTGAATGCAAAGTTCAATGCCTGTAATAAATTCCATGAAGAAATTTTAGCAAATGTTCATATGAATTAAAAAAAAAATTCAAGAAAATAACTTTAAAACAGATAACATTGCGAACCTGTGTAGGGAAGTAACGGATGACATTGGCAGTGTTCCCTCTCCACAAAGAACCAAACCCCTCTTCCTTGATTGTCCTGCCAAAGCAGTCACCAATGCCCTTGTAGGGTTCAGACAACCGACCAGTTTTGATCATTTCATCCTGGTTCTGAATCAAAAGTTTAACACGCTCAATTGGAGCAGCAGCAGTTTTAGATACAGCAGCAGAGACTCCACCCATAAGAAAATCAATAAGAAAGTGGCCTTTCTCTGCAGGGGCTTGGACAAAGATTGGGGATGCAGTTGATGGAACCAAAGATAGATCAGTGGTAGCTCTGCATGCTGGCATAAAGGGATACTGCAATGCAGCATTAGAGTAGTTCCCATATGCACGCCTTTGGTACATCCCTGGTCTTTGGAAGCCACTATCATATCCCTGAATAGATTGCTGAAGGAGCTGGCCAGCTACCTTCTGAACAACAGAAGGGTGTTGAACCTGATCAACCATTGTGACTTAGCCTACAAGAATGTGCATAAACAATGTTAAAAACAGAAACCACCCAGAGAAAGAAAAATAATAATCCTTCCTGAACCAAGTAAAATATAATTTCAAGAAAGGACAACAATGTTTGTCCAAAACTTAACTGCCATAAAATATTGTATAAAAGCATCAAATCACACCAAACAAACAGCTATAAAATCAATCATTCTTTCATAGAGACAGATACCAAAAGAGGACGAGCCTTGATTACAGGATGATCTCAAAGGGTGCGAGATAAGATAGTTAAAACCATATATGTACTTACAAAACAATATATTCTATAATCTGTCTAATGATCTTAGTACTTTTTTCTGTTACAGATGCAGACGACAATATGATGTCATTAAAAAAAAACAATCATCAGCACTTCAGATAAGGCATCATAGCTTCATGAAGTGAAGGAGCTAAACATGTTCTAACCATCAAGTAAAGAAATACTGGAATTTGCCAGCTTGGAACTGATATGATGATCTCTTTTTCTCTATATAACGAAAATGTATACAATAATAAATATGAAAAACAAAACAACTATATTAGCTGGTATTCACAAATTGTTGCATTACTTTTACAAATATACTCAAGCAATACAAATCCAATACAAAATAACATAAACTGAATGGGAATCCACTTTTGGTTTTGAACATTAACAAAATTACCAATTTCAAATATCCAATCCATTAACCTAGATGATCACATACATATGTAATGCAGGGTACAAAGAATGTCAATCCAATTTGACAGTATACACCAAAAAAACGCATATCATCGAAAAATGACTTCAGTATACAAAGGATCCAACTAAAAAAATTAACTACTTTGAGTGTTAGAATTTAGCATCAAAACAAATCATTTCCCTGTTACCGCGGTAGCAACTTACTGATTGGAAATCGAATTCACATACACACAAAGTAGTTTAAGTGCAATTATAAAAACTAGTTGCTTAAAGCTCAAAACACCAAAAATTCCCAATCAAAAATCGCGAATTAATTTGAGATCATTGGACCAAGAGTTAAAACCCGGAATAAAATTATTATTTTATAATTGCAACACGATATTATCACTCATGCTCTTCGTGCCGAAATCAAAATAAATTTGAAATTTAGTGAAACATAAAAACAAAAAGTTTGAAAATGACCAAAACAGACCAGATCTTAACGGATCCAGATCTGTAATCAACAAATAAGCAACTAGAATGAAAATGAAAACAAGTCTACCACATAAATGGCACTTAAAAACTCAGATCTGAGAAAGATGAACAGAAATGAAACATTAAAAGCATACAAATCCAGTAGATCAGATTTCACTGCAACAGGTTGCAAATGCAGAAAATCAGAAAAACAGAAACAAAACAATCAGATCTTGAAACTATAGAAACGATACTATAATTTACCTTTGAAAATTAAAAAGAACACAGATCTGAAAGAGGAAAAAAAATACGGAGATATACAGAAGTTTCAGATCTAAAAATAACTAGCAGATATTTTCATTGAATTTCGTATACCTTTGGAGGAAATGAGAAGCGATTGATGGCTGCGGGGGTCTCCGCTTTGAGCTCTACGCAGAAATGCTCAAAGACAAAGACTGTGTGTGGAGGAGACGAGTTTTTGGGAGCAGCAAAGCTACCCTTTTATTGGCTGACCGCTGACCTTTCCAAAGAGAACAAGTGTTGTACGGCTGAAATCACAGCCGTTAACGTTTGGATCCGACGGTTCGTATTTCACATCTTTGAATCACATCTTAGTCAAAGTAGACGTCGCCGTAACGACTATGTAATGTGGGTTAGCCCAACTTGGGAGATGTATTGGGCTAGGCTCAAAAAATTGAATAGTTTTGATGTTTTTGTGCCCTAAACCCAAAAAGTATATTGAACTTTTTCTTTTTTCCTTTCGGGTGTAGAAAAGGGTGTGGGAGAAATTCTCTACCACTCGAGCTACAAGTCTCGTTGATCTTCATCTTTAAGTTAGGCACATGCTCGCCGTTGTACTATCTAATTACCTTCGGTAATAAAAACAATCACTATGACCACTATGTTAAAATTTTCCTCTCCAAAAGCTATTGAACGATTCAGTATATATACAAGATTTTATCTATGCGACATGATACACAAGATTTTTAAGTCTTGGAGTGCAAGACAAGTTTACATATATATAATATAATACACAAGCTTTGAACCCATTACAGAAAACCCAATCAGCCCACATCTCTATTAAGTCCTTTCTTAAAATTTATTTTGTTTAAAAAAAAGTTATAGACTTCTATTTTTATATAATTAAGTCGTTTCTTAAAAAAATTATTCGTGCAATCTTTGGGGAAAAAAAACACAAGAACAATTGCCCAACGTCATGTTTGAGTGACAGAGTAAAGTCTTTAATTATGTTTGAGTGTTTCATCTCTTTCGCATCATCTGAACATATTCAATAATCTAATGACTTAAGCTATGACACGTTAATTTTGAGTTTTTGACACATATCTGTGAACAAAACTGGGCTGTTTGGATTTTATTTTTGAAGTTGGGTGTTGTGATTAGATTCATGGGTGTAAGGCAAACCCACAAAAAAACAAAAAAAAACAAAAACAAAAAACTGGGCTATTTAGCACTGCCAGTAAAAATGGGCAGACCCAGATTTTTCAACCACAAAAGTGAAGCCATCATCATAGGAAACATGCCACCCCCTTCCTGGTACCCCAATTTCATTTCAGTAGCTCTCTCTGTCTCTCACAACAATAGAACATTTTTCATGGCTCTGGCTCTGGGTACTTCTCAAAGCTTCTTATGCAGGACATCAAATGGCTCAAAGATCAACCTGTATAAGTAAATTAACAATTTTTCAAATTTTCAAATTCATAAATCATAAATTAAACCAAAATATGTGGTATCAATTAAGTTAGAATCCACAAATAGAATCAAGATCATCATTTGTCTATTTTCACATACTCATATCCATTCAATTTTCTTTTATGTACAAAAAACCTACACATACCCACAAATATAATATAATATTGGACTTTTAAAAACATTTGGAGGCCCCTAAATTTTGGGGGCCCTGTGCGGTCGCACATCCCCGCACATGCCATGGCCGACTCTACTTTTGGTTCTTGGGTGGTGTATCGAATTTTGCAAGGTATGTATGCATCGCAAAAACTGTAACTAAATTTGAAACTGAGAAAACGGTTGAGAAATATATTTGCATGCGGATAAGTGGCAAAAAGGGTAAAAAAGAAAGCCCCCACACATCCTAAGGTGATATCCCCGTTGCAATCAAGTTTTTCTCCAATCCAAATAACGACAGCCTAGCGTGAGAGAATTATTTCAGACATGCATCTTCCCATTATTTTGATGCGATGTTGAGGTGTTGAATGCAATAACATGCATCTTAAGCTCCATTTTGCACGGAGCTATTAAAAAAAGTATATTTAAAAGAAGCAAACAAAGTGAGAATCGTTTTGCAGAATATCTTTCCAAAAGCAAGCACGTAAGGATTCATCAAAATCTTGTTTTAGGATTCAAAGAAACTAAAACCGACTAAAAACAGTCTGTGCAAAAGCCAAGAAGCTTAAAACTTTCTGTTCACTACGGATTTGTATAAACCAGCATTTGTTGTATAATGAGATTATACTAATTTCAGAAGCAATTATTTTAAGGAAAATTTTGCCGAAACAAATTCTTCAGACTCAAAAAGATTTTCATCACCAGATTCATACTTCTTCCCGAACACGATCCGCTGTAGCTCATCATAACCAGCAAGGACACTACCACCAGTAAAGGCACGGACGATGTTGAAGCCAGCACCCTTAAAGAGAGACTTGGCACCCTCCTTCAAGATCTGCTTGAAGGCATCCAGGGAACTCTTGTACTTGACAGCTTCACCGGAGGTCATCATCATTCTTCTGCGAACAGTGTCAATTGGGTAGGAAGCAAGACCAGCACCATTGGTGATGAGCCAACCAAGGGCCAAGCTGGCCCAGAAATTATCCCGTAGTTTTTAAAACAAACAAAAAAGCAAAACGTCAAAAAGTTGAAAGCAAAAGGTTTAAAATTCATATTGCAGTTCATAAGGTCAATAAAGCCAATCCAAACAACCATAGGTGAAGACAACAAATTGCACCATTGCGACATATGATCCTTTAAGAACCAACAAAACAATAAATGCTTTATAGGACTATTTCTAATGCTTCACAACTGACACTAAGTAAAACAAGGGGAAGCCAAAAATAACAAACACAAGTATGATAATTACGTAAAAAGCAATGAAAAATATCATAATTCATGCAACAAGCCACGTTGGTAAATGCAACCCTATCATAAGACCATATAACCATGAACCAAGAGGGTAGTCCACTAACCTGCAAACCTCCAATCAGGACCACAGGCTTCAATGAATCATACAATCCAGCAGCACCTCCTGATGCCAAGTTACCTGCGAACCATTTCCAGTAACCATCCCTGTCTTTCTTGAAGTTGAATAGCCTCTTAAAGTAATCCTTGAATGTAAAGTTCAAGGCCTGTAATAAATTCCAAGAAGAAATTTTAGCAAATGTTCATATAAATAAAAAATAATTCAAGAAAAAAACTTTAAAACAGATAACATTGCGAACCTGTGTAGGGAAGTAACGGATGACATTGGCAGTGTTCCCTCTCCACAATGAACCAAACCCCTCTTCCTTGATTGTCCTGACAAAGCAGTAAACAAAGTTCTTGTAGGGTTCAGACAACCGACCAGTTTTGATCATTTCATCCTGGTTCTGAATCAAAAGTTTGACACGCTCAATTGGAGCAGCATGAGTTTTAGAGTGAGCAACAGAGACCACACACGCAAGAAAATAAACAAGAAAGTGGTCTTTCTCTGCAGGGGCTTGGACAAAGATTGGGGATGCAGTTGATGGAACCAAAGATAGACCAGTGGTAGCTCTGCATACTGGCATAAAGGGATACTGCAATGCAGCATTAGAGTAGTTCCCATATGCACGCCTTTGGTACATCCCCGACCTTTGGAAGCCACTATCGTATCCCTGAATAGATTGCTGACGGAGCTCGCCAGCTACCTTCTGAACAACAGAGGGGTGTTGAACCTGACCAACCATCGTGACTTAAACCTACAAGAAAGTGCATAAACAATGTTAAAAACAGAAACCACCCAGAGAAAGAAAAATAATAAACCTTCCTGAACCAAGTAAAATATAATTTCAATAAAAGACAACACTATTCGTTCAAAAACTAATTTATGTATTTATAAAAACTAGTTGCTTAAAGCTCAAAATACCAAAAATTCCCAGTCAAAAATCGTGAATTAATCTGAGATCATTGGACCAAGACTAAAAACCTGGAATAAAATTATTGTTTAATAAATGCCAAAATCCAAATAAATTTGAAATTTAGTAAAATTATAAAAACAAAAAGTTTGAAAATGACCAAAATAGACAAGATCTTGACGGATCCAGATCCGTGATCAACAAATAAGCAACTAGACTGAAAATGAAAACAAGTCTACCACATAAATGGCACTTAAAAACTCAGACCTGAGAAAGATGAACAGAAATGAAACATTAAGAGCATACAAATCCAGTAGATCAGATTTCACTACAACAGGTTGAAAATGCCTTAGCCAACGTGAAAACTGGTTCTCCCTCCTCCCCTCCGTCGTTCCTCTTCTCTTCTACAGTCACCGTCTTCTTTCGCCTTCTTCATCGGCTATCCTCCTACACCATCAATTGGCACTCCACTGTCCCTCCTTTGGTTATTGGTGAGTATATATGATTTTTTTTTCTATCAATTCTTTTTTTGATTGGGATGCTATATTTTCATGTTCGTTCTCCTCCATTGATGACTTATGGTCATTCTCCGTTGTTTCTTTTCATGCCTTTTTAAATAGTTTTAACCTTTATTTTGTTCTGAATCAGTTAGAACCTGCAAGTATGAAAACATAAGTCAGAAGATTTTACTCTTTATGATCTATGGATAAATTATCAAATTTGAGTCATAAGATTGATTCATGATCCATAAAAGAAAATTTCAAAACCTGATTTGCTTTATATATTGATACTCTGCTACCATGACTTGTCAAACTGGGGAATGTTGTGTTTGTCTTCCTTGATTTTTTCCGAGAGAGGGAATTTTTCTATCATCTTACAGTCTTCTAGGTTTGTCAAAATTGATTGGCTCCAGAACATGTTTGGAATTCCCTGGTAAACATTACTTTTTTTTCTTTTCCCTCTTTGTCATAGTTTTCTTATAAAAAATATCAGAAATACTTATCAAACAATAATATATTTATGTCATACCATTACAGCATTATTGCTCTCTTGTGTTCCAACCAAGTTATCACTTTCACAAATTGGTGGAGCATCAGTATGACAAAAGACATCACTTTGTGCAGGTATCTACAAAAATTTCAAGTAAAATATGTAAGACATCTTGACAAAAGACATCACTTATATTTATATATATATATATATATATATACACACACAAATAAGTTGTAGCATTTTTATTTGCTAACCTCTGTTCCTCCGTCAACAAACTTTGATAAGTTGTAGAAAAGGGTGTGAGATAAATTCTCTTCCACTCAAGCTACAAGTCTCTTTGATCTTCACCTTTAAATTAGGCACATGCTCGCCGTTGTACTATCTAATTACATTCGGTACTATAAACAACCACTATGACCACTATGTTAAAATTTTCCAAATGTCATCGGTGGATTTTAAGATGTGATTCAAAGAAGTGAATATATGTGCAAATAAAATGAATTGGCACGCGTTGTATTTTCAAGAGGTGAGTATTGGAAAAAGTTCATATCAACATATCAAGTATTTTTCAGAAAGCGATATTAGATGAGGGGGAGTTTGGTGGGTAAATGTCGATCAAGGATTTTTTTTGGCTTTTCCTCTCATGGGCAAGGACTGCTTTTGGATGGAGAGCTTGAATAGAATGAGTGGAATGGTATGCTACATAAGAAGCCATTGCCAGTTAGGAAGGGGGTTGGGGCTGCTTTGGGGTTTTTCCTCTCCAAAAGCTATTGAACGATTTGGCTATGCTCCATGTGAAGGAAATGATGAAAGAAAAATGAGTTCATCTTCCATTGATCAGCCACTCAATACATGTACAAGATTTTTATTTGTGCGACTTGATACACAAGACTTTTAAGTCTTGGAGTGCAAGATAAGTTCACATATGTAATACACAAGCTTTGAAGACAGTAGCCCATTAAAGAAAACCCAATCAGCCCACATCTCTATTAAGTCCTTTCTTAAAAGTAATTTTGTTTAAAAAAAAGGTTATAGACTTATATTTTTATATAAATAAGTCCTTTCTTTAAAAAATTATTCGTGCAATCCTTTGGGGGGAAAAAAAACAAGAACAATTGCCCAACATCATGTTTGAGTGAAAGAGTAACGTCTTTAATTATGTTTGAGTGTTTAATCTCTTTCGCACAATCTGAACATTTTTAATAATCTAATAACTTAAGATATGACACGTTAATTTTGAGTTTTTAACACATATCTGTGAACAAAACTGGGCTGTTTGGATTTTATTTTTTGAAGCTGGGTGTTGTGATTAGATTCCCGGGTGTAAGGCAAACCCACAAAAAAAGAAAAAAAGAAAAAAAGAACTGGGCTATTTAGCACTGCCAGTAAAAATGGGCTGACCCAGATTTTTCAACCACAAAAGTGAAGCCATCATCATAGGAAACATGCCAACCCCCTTTCTGGTACCTCAATTTCATTTCAGTAGCTCTCTCTGTCTCTCACAACAATAGAACATTTTTCATGGCTCTGGCTCTGGGTACTCCTCAAAGCTTCTTATGCAGGACATCAAATGGCTCAAAGATCAAGCTGTGCTCAAATATTAGTGACGGCAAAACAAGCACATCCCAAACCCAAACGAAGAAGCGGTGCTTGAGGTGCAACACCCTCTACACAGACAAAGACAATTCTCCTACTGCTTGCTCCTTTCATGGCCACACCACGGGTAATATACATATCACAAATTCACATGCTTCGCCTTTCGATTTCTCCCCCCACATGCTCATTGGGACCATGTGAGGCCTACTAAAAGTATCTTTCCTTATGATTGAATGATATCGACAATAACAATAAACTTGTTTGCCAAATAATGTGTCACGACTCTAGTTAGAAATAAATGAGATTCAGAGTAAACTCATATTTGAGTAAGCGCGTTAAAATGATAATTGGTTTTGGATTGTGTAGGAGAGAAGGGATTATTTGCAATGGCCCCACCACACCAAGGGATTGATGGAGAGTGGAGTGATAGGTCTGGAGTGATTGTGTACAGATGGAATGAGAAGAGCAAGAGACCAGACACTGGAAGTGGGAATTGGAAGAAGAGATGGAGCTGTTGTCAAGAGTATGATGAAAATGCCACACCTTGTCAAAGGGGATGGCATGTTTCCTATGATGATGGCTTCACTTTGTATTAGTTAGCCACAATTCAGTTGCTTCAAAATAATTAATGTATCATCACTTGTTAATTTAGAGTATGTTATATGGTTCACAAATGCCTACATCAATCTGATTTTGTAATAATTTCTTTTTACATTTAATTTTGCTTTGATGGATGTGATCAGATTCCATTGAAATTTGAAATAATCCTCTGTTTTGGTTAACTTGAAGTCCATCAAAATTACATTGGCATTCAGCCAATTGTTCATCATTTTGCTAATTCAATTTGGACACTTTAGAAAACGAGAGTCATTCAAAATAAGGGGCATTGTACAAGAAATCAAATCATACATAAATGATAGAAGCCTCGGACACACGTATAATGCCACGAGGTGTTCGAAAATTGTTGAAGTAGACGAAAATGATTAACAAGGAGTTTCTCATATATGCAGAAGCTAAGCTATATATGCAAGCCCCACATAACTCATAGCACTTACATTTACAAATCTCATTTCCAAATTCTAACAACCACCCATCCACATAAAATCTGAAAAGATTTACTTCAAATTCCTTTGGCTCTTTTCCCCCAACTCCAGCACTTATAAAATTGTATAAGCAGATGAGAAGGCCCATGGACAGGTGGGATCAGAAGTCTTTTTATTTCATAATTGAAATCTATATTGTATTTCAAAAGTGCACAGCAGAACCACATTGTTAGCAGAAAAAGAAGGCATCAACGCAAACTAGAAGGAGCCAATAGTTTTAAAAGACTCATGAACATGCTTCAACATGTCATGGTCACGGTTCCACTCAGGCGTAGGCGCATTCACAAAATGAGCATAGAGCTTGTTCTGAGCACAAGTCACTGAAATCAAACTATGAGCAGCAACGCCGTCAATTTCATACACGTAGTAAACTTGTCCCTTCTCGTCCTTCTTCTCCTCCGACGTCACATTGTCCGCGCTAGCTAGCAAGTCCTGCAAGTTCACATCTGACAGAGCCAAATTGTTCAGTACCAAGTCCTTTGGTGCTAGTTGCCTAAACCCAGAAAGGAACGTCAAGTACTCTTTCTCTGACTTCTTCTTCGGGTTATAAAATTCGCTATCAGTTCCATTCGTACCTGTTCATCAACAAATAGTAACCGAGTCACATTTTTTTCCGATTTAGATTCACAATCTCACAACATAACATTTATATATAATGAAGTGTTGCAACAAATGTATATAGTAGCGTATATATGTATATATGTACCCTTTTCGACTTTCGATACCAAACGCTCTTTCCAACCATCTGGCACCTCATAGACATACTCGGCGGAGTCTTTCTTGTTAGAGTTGCCACCGTAGCCGCCATAGTTGGCGGCGCTCGCGGCAGTGCCGTAGTAGACTTGGTAAGTTGTTGCTGCTGTGGAGTCTGCTAATGAGGGTGGAGTGGCGGTTAGGATGGCGGCGGCGGCAGCGGTGGCTGTTAATGTGGTGGTTAAGGTAGTTAGGAGTGGTTTGGAGGGTGGGATGGGGAGGTGGGATTTGGATGGTGGTGGAGTTTGAGGTGGTTTTGGAGAAGTGATGGTGGTATTGGGGGTGTTGGTGGTGGTTGTGGAGAAGAAGGTGGAGGGGGAGAACATGGTAGCCATGGGATGGGATTGGATAGAGGGGTGTGGTTCTTTCCTTGTCTTTCTTATCTTTAATTTAAGATTTTCCTTATCCCATGTGGTGGGAAAAAGTTGGGGAATTTGGCCATTGACCAATCATGCAAACCTAAAGATGGGCCCTTCAGGATGGATGGACTGATAAGCAATGTTTATTATTCATGAACTAATTCTTGGTATGGGAGGTTTTTTTTTCTTTTTCCTTCTCTCTCTCTCATAATATTTGAAGATGTGTAGATTCTCCTAGAAAAGAAGACTTCGTTTGGTGGCTCGCTATGTACTCTATTTCAATTGAATTTGACCAATGTCATGGTTTGGTGCCATTTTTTTGTTGAACTTATAAATGTTGGAATTGAACTTATTAAAATGGACAAGAATTCAACATATCACAAGTCCTATTATGATGAATAAGACTTACAAAAACTAACTTGGGCTAAATTTCAATTCAATTCAAGTTGAGCCACTAAATAAGGCCGAAAAGTTGTTTATTTTTATTTTTTAGTACAACTAACAAGCGATAGTCTAAATTCACATACACAACTAAAATACCATGAGGGTTTGAACCTGAGACCTCTAGTTTGAAAATCAAGGCTCTTTTCCACAAGCTGAAAAGTTTTATACATGAAGTGTATGCTCCGAAAGTTAATACAATATAAATTTGTATATTGTTTGCAAGAAAAATACTTAGGAAACCATATTATTGTACTACATTGTATAATATTTAAAATATATTGATAGGCTCCACATCTATTTAAAATGTTGTATTTATTTATTTGTCGGAACTTCTAAACATTGCTTTGCTTTATTAGTTCAAATGGTTAATAGTTTTTGCTTTTATATTCGACGTCCTAGATTTGGTTCTCTTGTCTCTCAATATCGTTTCTATTGTAAAAAAATTTTTTGGACTAAAATTAATAATCCACATAAATTATAAAAATTATACAAACGATAGTCTAAATTACTCTAAATAAATCTAATTTAAAATGAAAAATTGAATTTATGTACCTTTGCTTTGATTATAGCGTGAACCCACGGAGAATACGTGTGGTTTAAGTCGCATAGATGTCAAAATATGGATATGATATGATTAATTAAATAAGAAACTTTCTTGTTTTTCATACAAATTCTGTCTATTTTCTTTTCGAAAATTTATAATTATTTATTAATATTTGCGTTTCGGCCCTCCGTTATTTCTTATTTTGGTCGCACCCGACCCACCAATACCATAATTTCTTACAACCTACCGTTTCGTCCGCGATTCTCAATCCTCCTCTGTCCATAGGGGTATGCCCGTAATTATATCCCAAAACCAATGGCCGTTTCATATCGTACACCGACCGCCAAAAAAACCCTAGATACTCACAATTTTGAGACTCGCAGAGAGACTTTTTCCTCTCTCTCTTTGTCAGAGACTCGGAATGAATAATTAAGGCTTGTTGATTCATTGTTCCCTCTGTTTCTTTATCATTCTCAAGCTTTTTAGGTTTCCAATTTTTGTTCCTGTGGAAAGGCTCTGGCTTATCCATCGGTTTCTTGATCGCCATGTCCAAAAGGTGAGTTTTGTTTTGAAGATGACCATTGATCGTAAAACGAATATTGTTGAATCTTCTAATTTTTGTATATGTGATTTTACATATGTAATTTGCTGAATTTGGTATTTTTTCATGTTTGTAAAAGATTCTTGGAATTGCTAATTTTTATTTTGTTTTAAAATTTCTTAAAATTAATTGGTTGCTGAGAAAATGGAGGAAATGACGATGAAAAGAGGAAAAAGAAATTAAATTTGAAATGTTGAACAGTACTGGTATGGGAGTTGTTGTCCTTTGATTAATTTGTTGGGTAATGTTGGTTAGAGGTCCTTTGGGAATCAATATTGTGGAAATTCCCTTGTGAAAATAAATTTTCTGTCTTTATATTTGCTGCTTTTGTGAATTTTAACACCTTTCCATTCTGTTTAACATCAATGAAATGGTTGTATAATCCCATTTGTGCTAAATATTGGATAAATGAGTAATTTTGAGTCGTGATATGATTTTGAAATCTGAATTATTTAAAGATATGTAAAGAAAAGTGATTGTAAAACTCCTTTAGTTCATATTGTTTTTTATTTTTTATTTTTATGTAGTTTAATTGGCTCTTCATTTGGTTTTTTAGAACTTATCTGGAGAGTTGGGGTGGTATTGGAAAGAAATGCATTTGTGAAATTATATCTGTGAAATTATGAGTAATTGATCAAATCCTTTAATAGTGTTTTAGCAAACTTCTTTATTGTCACATTTCAAGAGGCTTTCCATGGCTCATTTGGTTGGTCTTTGTTGATGGTAATTGAACTAGTTCTTTTGTCATTTCAAATTTCTTCAGGGTTCTCTGCAAATTTTTTGCCCATGGAGCCTGTTTGAAAGGGGAGCATTGTGAGTTTTCACATGATTGGAAGGCAACACCAAATAATGTAAACTATTTATTCTACTTACTTTTAGTTGCATTCGTGTTAAGTAATAACAATCAACAGTTATTATTACCTTCTAAACTTTTTGCTTTCTGGTTCATCATGACAGATATGTACTTTTTATCAGAAAGGCGCTTGTGCATTTGGTAGTCGATGCAGATATGAACATGTTAAAGCTTCTCGGGCTCAGTCTTCTGGTTCGTCTTCATCAACAAATTCTCGGCAATCTCTGGCTGTTGATTCTTTATCTATGGCTCATCCTTCAAGAACCTCATCAAGTGGACTTGCTCTTGCCCCGGGAATTCTTTCGGAACTCTCTGCTTCAAGTAGTCCTTTCTTACCTCCCTCTAAGCCTGCCTGGAATGGTTCCCTGGATGATGATGATTATGATGATAATGGTGACAATGATGATGATGGTGCTGGGGCGACTAGGAGTACTAGGCCAGAAGATCATGTTATTTGTTCATTTGCTGCAGCGGGTAATTGTCCTCGTGGAGAAAAATGTCCTCATATTCATGGAGATATATGTCCCAGCTGTGGAAAACATTGCTTGCATCCTTACAGACCTATGGAAAGGGAGGAGCATGTCAAGACATGTGAGGAAAAGCAGAAGCAACTTGAGGCTTTGAAATGCAGTCAAGAAATAGAATGCAGTGTTTGCCTGGAACGTGTTTTGTCAAAGCCCACAGTTGCTGAGCGGAAGTTGGGATACTCTCAGAATGTGATCATCCTTTTTGCGTATCTTGTATTCGAAATTGGCGTAGTAGTTCCCCAACTTCTGGTATGGATGTCAATAGTGCATTGAGAGCGTGCCCAATATGTCGGAAGCTGTCATACTTTGTCATTCCAAGTGTCATTGGTATAACACAAAAGAAGAGAAACAGGAAATTATTGACAGCTACAAGTCAAGGCTCAGGTAATTTTGTGCTTAATTGTCCTTTTGTTCTTTAAAAGCTGCGGTTCAATTAGCAGCGCACTGTGTTGTACCCTGGATTTTTTTCACAATTTATTTTTTCAGAATGGAACTATTATAGTTTAACTTTTGTTTATATATAAATATTGAATTTGGAGGACAGAAATATCAGCTTTGTATTGCTCTTTTGATTTGAAGTTGGAAAGGCCTCGAGAGTGGGGAAACATTGGAATCTCTCTCTCTCTCTCTCTCTCTCCTCTCTCTCTCTCTCTCTCGTTATATTTTGTTTTGTTTGTGCTTATATTTCTTTTATCTTGCAGGTCAATTGATTGCAAGCACTTCGATTTTGGAAATGGGAACTGCCCATTTGGAACTAGTTGCTTTTATAAGGTAATAGAAATGCTACAGGGAATTATGCTGCTGCAATTGTTATTCACATTGGTTTTTCTGTGATGTTGAGTGCAATTTACCATGTAAAGAATCTACTGATGACTTGGACAAGTATTTGATGGCTAGTCTACTTGCCTTTTAAGCCCCAAACATAAAATCATAAACTCCGTTCCTCTTATCTTTTATTCCTTGTGTTTGTGGAGCCATTTGATTTACTTTGTGATGGATTTTGGTGTGACCCCTTTGATTTTATTTGTTTATTTTGAAACTTGCTTTATTTATTATTATTATTTTGTTGTGCTTGATTGCGGGTGGATGCCTTCTTTGTGGCTTAATTAGGTGGCCTTTTGTTATTTACCTAAGGATATTGAGATCAATATATTGTGATTTGTATTCTTATTGATCAAGCACTTTTCTTTAACTAATACTAGTCTTAGTTCATTTGATGAAAACATTATTTCTGTGTCACGAAGTCCAATCATGTGGCTTCTTACTTGCAGTTGAAGTACCTGCACTTGTATGAGTGAGTGGTAGGTGGGGGATAAGGGGTTGCATATTGACTTTTTATGTGGTATATGTAATACTGCTGTTTATATTCACTTGATGCTTTGGTCTTTTAGGCCTTTGCAATATCTGTGTTTAAGTATTTTGTCTGATTTAAGCCCATCCCCATGCAACATTGTTGGAGCAGGAAAAACTGTATTTATTATTATGTAGTCCAGAGTTTATATAACTGTATTTACTGATGTGGTTGTATTCGGTCTTTAAGAAATTTAATTTCTTGTATGTGTTTTTCCCTTTAATCTTTGCACATGTTCTGCCCTTGTGCCTGTTGTTTCTGGTCGGTCTAGGACTCTAATAACATGTAGAATCAATGCATTACCAGTTGTTGAATAACCTGTTGAGATATCTTTCAGGTTTCCAAGGGCTTGCAATTGTGTCTGCGTGTAAAAATTATAGTCATATGGCTCCCTCTAGATTCCTTATAACCAAAATCAACTAACCCTTGGTTTAATAACACGGGGTTATATAGGACAACACATTGCTTTCTACGTAATACTAGTATTTGGTATAAATACCTTTGGGGCAATAGGAGCATCATGATCTCTGTTTGTTTATTTTTTAGGCTTCTCTTATACTTTTGGGGTCTTATTCTTGGATCTTTCCTCTTTCCTCTGGTTCAATATGTAACTTATTCTTTCCCTTTTCATTGCAAATGATCTTACCTCAACTCAATATTGGTCATTTGACTTTTGTATGGTCTTCTTGAGGTTTACTACGGTCATGCTTTTCATGATATACCTATTGGCAAAGGTTTTCCATCCTTGACGTAACTGACACTGATGAATTGTAAAAACTGACTGATGTAGTTTGTCATTGCTAAGGTCTACATCAATATACTAAGTGAATATCATTTGATGCTTGTTTGCAATTATGAAAATAGTCTGTGCTTTTAATTATTGATACCTGGGGAAACAGAAGTAATGCTCTCTCTCTCTCTCTCCTCCTCTCCTCTCTCTCTCTCTCTCTCTCAACCTCCTGTGTTAGTTACATAGTCTGTCATTGAAATTAAAACCTTCTATTGCTTTTATAGTTGTATTTGGTCATATTCGAGGAGAGGCATCAAACTAGCTTCTCCTGAATGTTGGCCTTAGAATCATCCCTTTTTTTGTTTTCATTTTACTTTCATCTCGGAGAGGATTAGCTTTGTGACACCTTTAATGGATAGAATGTTTTGTGTTCCAGCATACGGTCAAGCCGGGCTCATATGTATGGAAATTTCACAGGCCACCTCCAAGAAGGCCTCCTCCACGTCGATATGATATTGTGCCTATGGATGTCATATTTCATATGTTCGAGCACTTAGAAGAATGGGATGATTATATACTTGAAGATTTAGAAAATGAAGATTTAAACCCATTGGAGAGGGAGGAGTTGTTAATGCAGATGGGTTTTGATACAAGTGACTCGAGTGAAGATGAGATAGATTTATGGCCCGTGAGCTACTAGATTTAGCCAGTTGTATCTTCTCAAATTTCCTTCTGGGTTTTGGAGTTGCTGTGTTTTGATTGTAGTTTGTATTTTGACAACTCCTATTTATGAATGAAATATAGATTTATTCTCCAGTGATGGGGTTATGTTCTCTGAATCTCTAATAGTTTTCATTGGTGTGATGTGATATTTATGCTAACCATTTTATAACTTCCAAAGGCATCCAGTCTAACTGATAAAAATGAAAAGGAAAGAAACTGTTATATGGCTATGATTTGCATTTGTGCTTTAATTTCTCAGTTGTACAATCTCTCTGACCAATCACCATTTTGTCGTATTTTTGTTTCTGGCCCATAAAGTTTGGGTTGTTGGATGTATATGGCAATCTCTTCTAGTTTTATATGCGACACGGCTTTTATTTGAGCTTTCTCTAAGTTGAGGTTGTACTTTTTGAAGTCACTTTGTTGTCGCCTTGGGCGTCACTGATGACACTTTTGCTCTTGTATGGTAACTCCTGAATTTTCTATACTTTTCAGATTATATTCCTTCTACTGTCATGTGCACGTTTCCATCTCGAAGTATGTTTTGCATCTACTTTTTACTTTCTGAGCTGGTCTGTTGTCTGTTCAAATGTGGTGTTCACTGTTGTGCTCTTACATTTTTCATCCATGTCTCATTTGCGTGTATTCTTGTTTTCTATGCTGGAGCAGGTCCTGTTTACTTTCAATAATTATGCATTGAACATGGCTGTTGTCTGATTGCAGCATGCATACAGGGATGGCAGTCTGGAGGAAGTGGCACTGCGCCATCTTGGAAATGAAGATGGTCAGACTGTGATAGCTACAAATATTAGGTTTGCTTTGTGCCTTTTGATTATTTTTTTCGATCATTTAATTTTCTTTTCTTACTAAATTTTTGGCATTTTCAGGCTGTCAGACTTTCTTGCTGATTTGCACATAAGGTGAATAATGCCGTTTCAACATTCCAATGTAAGTTTTTGCTCCGGTTTGATTCTGATTCTTTACTACTACTGGTTTCCATAAATGTAATAGTTCATTTATGGCAGACGTCTAATCAGAAGGTTAAGTTGTCAAATAACAAATAAAAAGTTTAGTATCCAACAGGGATGAGATATCAGTAAAGTAGTAGCCATTATGCATGATGACCACACCTTGATACCATAATGTTCTGTAACGTGTCGGGCAGTGGTAAATGGGACTGTGAACTTAGACAAACTGAATGTTTTTCTTTAGTAGTTGATGATCATATTGATTAATGGCAGTGTTGTATGATTTTTCCTATATGAATCACTGAAAAATGTTGTGTCTGCTTCAATCTTGCCTATGTGTGCAGGATTTTTTTACATCAAGAACATATGCGCAGCTCTCATGCTGGTTTTTCAATTGCAAGTGGAATACTCCAGTGGTTTGAAAGGTGTGGTTCATGTACCTTGAATTTTTCTTTGTTTGATAAAGTTCCCAGCACTGTTTATTTCCCTTGAATGATATAGAAATTATGAATTTATTTTTCGTAATTTCATTTTTCAAGTTGATTGTAGCTTTTGTGGAACATGAGTCTGAAAACAAAAAAGTCGTATCACCCAATTTCTTTTGTTGTGCACTTTATCATGATTTCAAGTCTCTCTTAGTTCCTGCTTCTGGTTTTACACATAACGTGGCCCTTCTATACATGAAAAGTTGGTGGTCTGCTGCTCTCATTGTTTAAATAGTGCCATAAATTACCTGTTGGCCATACTGTTTAAAAGCCTTGTATAAAAGAGTTTCTTAAAAGAGTTTCTTGCTTTCTTATGGTGCTGAATGTAATTGGGATACGGGTTTGATCGTTTATGGTCCAGTTGGGGGTCACTAAAAAGAAATAATCTAAGAATTTGTCTTTCACATGTTAATTTAGGAAAAATTTAAAATACAATGACCAGTATTGCATTTTTTTTTAGAGTCATGTTAGGTTTGCATTTTTTGGCTTTTTTTTTTGTCTCTTTCGTCACTAACTTGTGTTTGTGTAATTTATACTCGGATGTTTCACGCAGAATTGCTTGCTTGATGGTGATCCAGTTTTTGGAGAAAGCATACATGTAACAGAATTCAAAATAAAAGTAATTATGGAGTGGATGAGCATATGTTGAGGATTTTGACAATTATATTTGTGCCTGTCTGTGGCTTCAATAAGTGTCTACAGATTGGGCCAAAATGAAATTGAATAAAGGATAGGATGCATAGCATGCCAATATCAAACTGGTTGGTTGGGAACTGTATATAAATTATAAAAATGGAAAGTGGGATTCAAATGGGTTTTTTCTTCATCAATTGTGGTGGTGATAGATGCTTTGAATAAAAGAAGACGTTTTGGTTTAGAGGGTGCTGCCTGGGTTATTGTCATATTTAGATATTCATTGGTTTTTCAACCACATTTTGCCTTCAGAATATGATGTAGCTTTTGTAATGATTTTCGTCCAGTTTGGAGTGAAGCTCTACTATGATGCATGTAGTCACATTTTTATTAATTCTGCTTCTTCAGTCATCTACTAACCATATAATCCTAGCAAAAAATGTAGTAGGATTATGAATCCTATTAAAAATTTGGGATTAAGATGGATTGGATTATGCTGCCAGACTATGTAATAACATATTATCGAGCCCTTTTAATCATGTGTAGTACTACTAAAAATATTATTGAATTTGTGTAATCCTCTTCAATCCAATACAATCAAATTCAATCCAATCCAATGCAATGCCATAATTCAATCCAATCTTAGTCGCCAATATGGCCTTAATTTTGTCGACTGCGTTTCGATGAAATGAGCATCTCAAGGGCACATTTGAGGTGATTTTTGCATCTAAAAAGTCATCAACTGTTGCGTGTGTTCCTCATGTGCTCATTTTCCAAACAGAACGGACAGTTTAAGGGACTACTTTGTTCCCAAAAGTTGCTGGTATCAAAGTAGAACTTGACCCAATAACTGTAAGCACCCAAGTAGTGTAGTAATTTTTTTGAACATGAGATGGCTGTCTGTGTGGAGAAAGTAGTGCGTTGTCATCTTCGAATTGCAGATGTCAGACAGTGACATTAAGTTCTACTCTGTACCAATTGAAAATTGAATATTCTTTTACACAGAAAGGAAGCACAAAGAGGAAGGATTTTTCGGGTTTGTATATCTCTGTTTCTTAGTTCTTTTCTAAAGAAATCATTTCCCAGCTAACTCTCCCTTCTTCCCTTTCTTTTCAGGTCCCTTGACCCGTATACATGAGGAGAATTGAACTTCATTTGAACCGTATGCATGAGGAGAATTGAAGTTCCCTTGTGAGAGAATTGAACTTCATATGATACTAACATTGGTTTACTTTCAATTTTGTTTCTTATTTCTTATTTTACTTCCTTTTTTTTTTCTAATCACTTTCATACATATGCTGTAGAGAAAAGAAGAAACAGATTGAGTGAAGAAAAGCCAATAACCATCATTCCAATGTACGTTCCCTGTTAGTGCACCTGGGTTGTGATCATAAAATCAACTCGACCCTTGAGCTACTACATTTAGGTTTATATACGCAAACAGATAGTTAATATTCCATTCTATTTGATGTGCATCTGCTTTTTGTTTCACATATTATATTCTCTCTCTCTTTTTATTTTTTCGGTGAGATAGGGGCCAAAATGGCCAGAACAAAAGAACTAAACAACCACTACTCTAGGCCTAGCCAGGCTGCAAACATCAGCAACAAGGCTATCACAAACAGAAGGAGGCGCAACCTATGAAAGCTAAGAACCAGATCATGACTCATGTGAGCCAAAACATCAGCAGCACAGTTTTGTTCACGAAACACATGTTTGAGAGAACAAAACCAATCCTGCTGCATCTTCAACTTGCAACAATTTATCAAGCTGAAAAAAGGATGAGTGGAGGCAACGGAACCAGCAAGAAGAGGCACCCATCAGTAGAACCAACACCCAGATTGACAGAAAAGCCCTTAATCCAATTCCCTGCAGAATTTCTAATCAAGCCACCAGCTCCAATAGCACCAGAATCAGATTTCCAACTCCCATCAGTATTGAGGTTAAAAAAACCAGGAAGAGGGGCATGCCAATGCACATGCACTCCACACTTCTTAGAGGAGCTAAGCATGGGCTTACAAGCTGTAAACCAGACCATAGCATACTGCAAAATCAACTTATGAGGCCCAGAAGAAGGCAAAACAAATCCAGCCTAAAAAACAACTTTACAATGCCACTTCCAAGTGAACCAAAGACAAACAGCAAAAACTAAGAACCAAGGCAAATTATCACAAACAACTCTTTTAGACTTCAGATTGTGCAAAAGCCAAGCATCAAAATCACCCGAATGGCAGTTAACCAAATCATCACTAAACCCAAACCACTCCAAATATCCATAGAGCAACAACAACCTCTAACTAAATGCTCAATAGATTCTATAGGGTAAATGCACCTGGGGCAAGGAGCACTGGAAGCAAGGCCCCTTCTCTGTCTTTGATTATTGGTCAGCAACTTCTTATGGAACAACAACCAAAGAAAGGTTTTAATCTTAGGAGGAAGTTTTAGTTTACAAAGAAACTCCCACTGCCACGGTAGAAAATTCGCTTCAAGAGAAAATGTATTATAAGCTGACTTAACAGAAAAATCACCAATAGGAGTGAACTTCCAAATTCTTTTATCCAGACCACTCCCAAAGAAATCAGCATGAATGCTTAAAATCATCTGGACAATCTCATCAGGCAAACATTCCTGCAAACAATTCATATCCCAACTGCTAAACAGAGTATCCGAAAAGTATGAGAAGAAAAAGGTTTATGGTTTCAATTATATCTTACTTTCTATCACTAACATCAAAATTTATACAAGTAGAGAAGGCTTGCTAACCAAGCTCTGTATTAATTATAATTGGTAGCAGGTGGCAGCTGGTGCAGTTGGTGGCGTTAATGCCACATTGGGTTCTCAACTCCTGGAGGTTTGCAGCCTCCTAAAGTCAGCAGCATTTAATGCATTCACAAGATTTTCACAAGACTAGCCAACACTCCCCCTCAAGTTGGTGCAAAGATATCACGCATGCCCAACTTGTCAAGCGAGTCATAGAAAATTCTTCTGGATACGACTTTTGTCATAATATCAGCAAGTTGATTTTATGAGTTTACGAATAGAGACTTAATCACACTACCCTCAAGTTTTTCTTTGATGAAGTGCCAGTCAAGTTCAACATTTTTAGTATGGTCGTGTTGTATCGAATTATGGGCTATCTCGATAGCAGTTTTATTGTCACAGTATAGGTCTATGGCTTTTGACTAGTTCGGTCCAAGATCTTTTAGTAATCTTTGTAACCATAGCAATTCACATACTCCTTGAGCCATCCCCTTAAACTCAGCTTCAGCACTTAATCTAGGCACAACCTTTTGTTTCTTACTTCTCCAAGACTAAGTTGCCACCCACAAATGTAAAATATCCAGACGTAGAACGTCTATATGTGATGGATCCTACCTAATCAACATCAATATACCCTTCTACTTCCATGTGTGTATGTTTGGAGAACATCAACCCTTTGCCAGGGGCAGTCTTCAAGTATCTCATTATTCGTGTTACTCCATTCATGTGTGCTTCATGCGCTTTATGGAAGCAGTGAATCTCCCAAACTAGGCTTGCGGTGACTGCTTTAGCCCATACAATGACTTTCTCAGTTTGTATACGATATTAGAACCAGATGTCATAGGGATCCCTGGTGGTGGATTCATATACACTTCCTATAAGTCTCCGTGAAGAAATGCATTCTTTACATCATACTGCAAATAGTGGCCAATCAATATTTGCAACCAAAGAAATGAGAACACGTATAGTATTGATCTTGGGAACAAGTGCAAATGTTTCTTGGTAGTCGATTCCATATGTTTGCGTATACCTCTTAGCCACTAATCTGGCTTTGTATCGATCTATGGATCCATCAACTTTGTATTTAATGGTGAATATCCACCTACATCCAACTGGCTTCTTGCCTTGTGGTAAAGGTTTCATTTCCCATGTGGAATTCTTATTCAGAGCTTTCATTTCAATTGCCATAGCTTCAGCCCATCTGGGATCTGTCACAACATCTTGCCACTTACTTGGAATACATACAGTAGATAATTGATTGAAAAAGATGCATATGACTTTGACAATCTATGAGTAGACACATGATTATTAATAAGATATTTTGATTTGGCATTAAGGTCAGGACAATATTGAAGTTTAGGTTTTCCCCTAGTGGATCTAGGTGAAAGTGTATACGGTACAATACTAGATGGTTCAAAGACTACCTCGAAAGCTTCGTCATCACAAGACGATTGAGAATATGGTAGGGCATAAGGGGTTGTATTTTGCAGTTGCTCTTCGGAACATCATAAGTCACTTTAAATACATCATTAGTCACTTCAGAGACATCATGAGTCACTTCTGGCACCAAATCTTCATCGGGGTCTTCTCTGTTTGAAAATGACCGGTCGACATTACTTGTTGTTTTCGAGTCTTCCTCTCGGGTTGAAAATGGCTAGTCGATTGGTCGACTTCCGTAATTCTTCCATGTCTTCAAAGCACGAGTTCTTCTCTTCATTCCCCCTCTCCCCCTGAAGAGAATGAGAGTTGAACCGTTTTATGAGATTTTTCCCACTCCAGTCCTGTCTTCAGCCATAGTACCACACCAATCACCTGCTAAGGAAGTCATTTAAGTAACATCTTCCCCTAAAACTGATAACATTAATAAAGTATATCATGATTATATGATTTCAGAAAGCATAAAGGATGCATATACCCTTATATACCAACTTCCAGGGAGGAAGAACCGTGATAAACCTCGAATACAGTACAAAATAGATCCTAAAGCCAAAGAAAAATACCCTATAAATAATCATATATCTTTAAGCAAATTATCATAGTTGCATGTACACTTTGTGAAGCAGTTTGTCAACATATATGTCCCAAGTAGTGTGAATGAAGCATTAGAAGATTTAACGCGGAAATAATCAATGAATGAAGAAATGCGAGCCCTCTAGAAGAATGCCACATGGGAGCTCATGTCTTTACCTCATAGAAAAAAGATAGTGGGATACAAGTGGATCTATATTGTGAAACTCAAAGTAGATGAATTCATTAGAAGATACAAAACCAGATTTGGGGGAAGGGTATACACAAAAGTATGAGGTGGACCACCAGAAGACCTTTGCCCTAGTAGCCAAGATCAACACTATCAGAGTCCTATTGTCTCTAACAGCGAATCTGGATTGGCTACTATATCAGTTTGATGTTAAAAATGCTTTTTTACATTCGAAGAAAAGGTATACATGGATTTACCGACAAGATATAATTTAGCTCATGCCAAGAAAAATCAAGTTTGCATGCTCATAAAGTCATTATGTAGGTTAACACAATCTCTAAGGGCATGGTTTGAAAGATTTACTAAGTACATGAAGAGTTTTCGATACACTCAGGCCCTGTTTGGTTCATGGAAATGAGGCTTGGGGATGGGAAGTCAATTGCTTTCCCATGTTTGGTAAGGCATGGGAAACGGTTGCCTTGCACATGGGAAAGTAAAGGGAAAGTGAAGCCCTCCTTCCCCCTTGGGTTCTGTTTTCCCTTCTCATGGGAAAGTTTGGGAAAATGAGCCAATATTAAATGCACATTTTTTATGACCATTTTGTCCCCATTAACAATTTAGAATTACAATATATCACTAAATGCAATTTTTTATTTGATTTAATATGGATATAATACAGACTTTGTTTTCTATTACTACTCAAAACAAACATGGGAAAGGAAATAAAGTGATATCTTCTGGTTACTTCCCCACTATTACCAAACATGGGAAATGAATGTTTCATTCCCATCCATTGGGAAATGACATGGGAAGTCATTTCCCCTCAAATCCGTTCCGTGAACCAAACGGGGCCTTAAATACACCATGTTCTTAAAGCGTAATGGAGGAAAAATCATTGCATTAATTGTCTATGTATATGACATGGTCCTAACTGGAAACGATGCAGGAGAGCAATATAAGATACAAAAGTATTTGTCTTAGGAATTTGAGATGGAGGATTTAGGTTCTCTGAAATACTTCTTTAGAATTAAAGTGGCAAGGTAAAATACTGGTATTTTCCTATCACAAAGGATGTGTGTGATGGATCTACTCACTGAAACAGGAGTGCTTGGATGTAAGCCTATTGACACACCCATTGAAATGAATCACAAGTTGTGTGAAGACATGGACCACTTGACAACCAACAAGGAACAATACCAGTGCCTTGTTGGAAAGTTGATATATTTGGCATACACAAGACCAATTGTATATGTTATGAGTATGATTAGTCAGTTTATGCATTCGCCCAGTATTTCTCATAAGAATGCAGTTGATCAGATCTTAAGGTACTTGAAGTCAACCCTGGGAAGAGATTAATATTCCCAAAGAATGGAAATCTCGAAGTTGTTGGATATACAGATGCTGATTGTGCTGGTTCCATTACAGATAGCTGTTCTACATCGGGTTACTTTACATTCGTTGGAGGTAACCTAGTCACTTAGCGGAGTTTAAAAAATAAAATATGGTTGTTCGCTCTAGTGTAGAAGTAGAGTATCGAGGTATGGCTCAAGGAGTTTGTGAATTATGGTGGATTAGAGACTCTTGATATAATTGTGTTTTAAACAGGAGAAGCCCAAGTAGTTACATTGTGACAACAAGTTAGCTATTAAAATTGCTCACAATCCAGTTCAACATGATTGAACAAAACATGTTGAGGCGGATAGACATTTCATCAAAGAAAAAATTGAGAACAAGGTCATCTGCCTACTCTTTGTAAAATTAGAAGATCAGTTAGTGGATGTCTTGACAACGGTTGTCTCTGAACGAGTGTTTCATGACTCACTTATCAAGTTGGGCATTGGTGACGTGTATGCACCAACTTGAGGATGAGTGTTGACGTGAGTTAACCTAACAAATCAAGGAGGTTTATTTTCTAAGTTAATTAGAAGATTTATTTCCTTATTTTCATAATTAGGAGATATTCTCCTAATTAATTCCTGTATATATTTCCTTGTAAAGCACACTTGTAAACTCATATATATATATATATATATATCTCTTTATGGAGAAGAATACAACTTAACATAAAGTATTCAAACCATATTCGTATTTTAGCAGAGTGCTCTTGTACTTGTATTCTTCTTCAATTAGTGAAAAATCCTAGCAACCTCGTGGACGTAGCTCAATTATGAGTGAACCTCGTAAAATTGTGATGATTGATTTGTGTTGTTTATTCTTTGGATTCCAGGTCTCGTTTGCCACCACAGTGTTTAAATATTTATTCTCAACTTAATTTGGCTACATGGAGGAACTTCGAAACAATGGATTAAGATAAAATTATAAGGCAAAGTTGTTTGTATGGACTATTGTAATTCATGTATGCCAAGATCTAGACAAGAAAAAAGGAAGAAAACAAATTGATTTCAAATGATTCATCGCATGTAGTCATTTTAAATGGACGACATCTAGTTATTTCAAATACATTCAATCTAATGTGGTTCTTGTTATTGTAGCAAGTTTAGTATTGTTCAAATCACCTCTGTCATAGCAGTTCAACGCAACATGACCCTTCTTCTAGCAAATTTGACAAAGCTCTACATTGGCACTTGTATTGAATATGTCCCTTTCTGGATGTTTCTAGCAGACTAAGCCAAATCTCTCTGCAAGTCTTCCTGCCATTGAATGATGTAAGAGATTCATGAAGGCACGATTGTGCATCTAACAAAAAAAGTTGTATCATGAATTTATTTTTCGTAATTTCATTTTTCAAGTTGAATGTAGCTTCTGTGTGGAACATGAACCTGAAAACAAAAAAGTTGTATTATCCAATTTCTTTTGTTCTCCTGCTACTGTTTATCATGAAAAGTTGGTGGTTTGCTGGTGCTGAATGTCAAACTCAATGAATTTTCACAAGAATTCTAACGCAAGAAAGAAAAAAAAACCAATGAAGAATAGAACGCCAATGAGATATTTGGTACACCGACAATTGCGCAGAAGCTAAGTCGACCCCGTCCCCATTGCCATGTGAGGACACAATAGTTTTCAAAAGTTGTGCCCCAGAGAACAATCCTGGAAATTGTTTTGTTTTCACACTCTATCTATTTTCAATTCACAACAAGAACATCACAATAAGAAGAACGGATTGTTATTCCAAAAAAATATATATATACATTTTAAAAATTTGAAGTTTCGGAATCTTATTGCAGTGAAGAACGCATCAACTTCCAGAGTATTCAAAAGCCCCAAAATTTTGCGAAGGCATGATGCAAGATTTCCTTCAGTTATGAATGTGAAGAGGAAGCCAATTTATTCAAAGTGGATTTTAAATTCAAATTTCAAACAGCCCAGGACATCGATTGGAATTTGGATGTTATTCCTGCACAGTTACATCTACAAGAGGTCATTGTCAAATAATGACACCAGTTAGATCATTGTTGCACAATGATGCCGACCCCATACCCTACCTCCACGTGAAGGCATGGAAAAATTTTCAAAAGTTGTGGCCCAGAGATCTGTCCTTGAAAGTGAAAGAGATTCTTCAAAGGTTACTTTACTGTTTGTTTTACCTTGATGGTCCTGTTTGTTTTACCTTGGGGTTGCCTTGAGTGTTGCTGGTTTATGGTGGCTGTTTGGTGGTGCTTATGTTTTTCAGTGGTTTTTGTTGCTGTGTTGTTTGTAATTTTGTTAGTTTTTATCAATTTTTAGTTTTGTTTATCTATTGATATAATTATCTGGGGTAGTCTGTTGCTTTTATTCATATGATATTGCATATTAGACTTGTGCTTGTATTATTGTATTTGTACCATCCTCTTGGGTGAGTTTTTCGTAATGAAATTTCATCTTTCGACCACAAAAGCAAAGAAAAAAAAAAAGGAAACACTGAATTATTGAAAAGAAAAACACATTTTTGGAAAACGGCTAACTTGTGGTAAAACGTCTAATGAAAAGTAGAATTCTAATTAACGGATCATGAGCCTCTGCATTTAGCATCCATGCATTTACACACATTTAAGTGAATGTTAACCATTAGATTAATCTAATGAACTTTAATAAGTCCACATCGTCATAATTGTATTAAACCAAAAATTAACCATTTGCACCTTATTATATTTATTCAATAACTCTGAAATAAAAAAAATAAAAAGGAATCCTATCCCTGACCCAGCCTCCTACCCCAACTGCTAGCCATGGCAGCCACCTCTCACTCCCTTTTCCTCACATACACCTTTAAGTTCTGTAGTTGGCAGGCACATATAAGATTTTCATATGCAGTACTAGTATTTGTGCCCAATTAATTTTCATTTGTGAATTTGCATATTTAATTGCAGTACTATGTCAAAAAGATTTGGATTTCATAAATTCTCTTCCTAGGTCTGGTTGAGTTCTCTTAAATGTGTGTAAATGCATGAATGCTAAATGCAGAGGCTCGGGATCCCTAATTAGGAGTGCCACAACAAGTCTCTCCACATATACTTGAAAAATTGTTTTCTTTCAAAATTTGACTAAGTATGAAAAATGGACTTTTGAAATACTAATGTTTTTTCAATGATATTTTTGGCTGTTTATATTCCTTACATCTTAAATAAGCAAACACGATTTTATGAGATTTTAGTATGAATTATTATATTGACTTATTGAGGTATCAATATTGCTATAAATTGTATCGGACGGATGCTAAAATTGGATTTTCATATTTTGATTTGTCGGGAATTTGGCTACATGGAGGAACTTCAAAACAATGGATTTAGATAAAATTATAAGGCAAATTTGTTTGTATGGACTATTGTAATTCATGTATGCCAAGATCTAGACAAGAAAGAAAGGAAGAAAACAAATTGATTTCAAATGATTCCTTTCATGTAGTCATTTTAAATCAATTTCAAATGTACAACATCTAGTTATTTCAAATACATTCAATATAACGTGGTTCTTGTTATTGTAGCAAATTTAGTATTTTTTGTAATTTCTTTTTTCAAATTGAATGTGGCTTTTGTGGAACATGAACCTGAAAACAAAAAAGTTGTATATTTTCCAATTTCTTTTGTTTTGGTGCACTTTATCATTATTTCAAGTCTCACTTAATTAGTTCCTGCTACTGGTTTTACATGAGAAGTTGATGGTTTGCTGCTCTCTTTGGTTAAATGGTGCCAGCAATTACCTGTTGGCCATACTCTGTTTAAAAGCCTTGTATAAAAGAGTTTCTGGCTTTCTTCTGGTGCTGAATGTCAGACTAAATGAATTCAAACGCAAAAAAGCCTTGTATAAAATCATTTACACCTGAACTGAGGGTAAAAGAAAAAGTAGCTTTTTTTCTTTTGAAAGCAAATGGCTTTTGTTTTTTGCTTTTTGCTTTTTTGAATTACAGTGATTAGGGAGGGGGTAACTTTTTCCTCGGATTCGAACGGTGACCAGTGGGGAAGGAGAAGGGGGAGGGACCTCACCGACAATTTCTCAGAAACTATGACGACCCCGTTCCCATCGCCATGTGAAGGCACAGAAAAGTATATATGGCCTGGCCATGCGGTGCCAAAACCAAGCTGGAATGCACTTTCAAAAGGCTACAACACAGACAAAAAATGCTGGCATGCATATGCAGCACAACACAACGACCCATGTGAAAAGACTTGTTGTGGCACTGTCAATTAAAATTCTACTTTTCATCAGACGACCCAATCCCCATCCGCCATGTGAGTGAGGGCCAGAGAACAGTCCTTGAAAGTGAAAGAGACTCTTCAAAGGTCAATTTACAGAACAGGCTAATTTAAAATAATGACAAAACCAATCAAAGAAGACATTTCGGCATTTCCTCCTCAACTTGCTCCACTTGCTGTTCCACACCAAATATTCAAAGCTTTCCCACGTGATTTGATTAGATTTTTGTCTACATGCCATCTCTTATCTTCAGCTTCAAATGTCAATAAATAAAGTGTTTTTGATTCAATATCTCACAATTTCATCTGTGTATTTTTGTGAGATGTGTTCCCAAAGCCCAATGCTTTTTTGGATAGTATTTTTGTGAGTGTGGAAAGTTGATAACAAGTAGAGAATGTGATAGAATTTGTAAAAAATGTGGAATGAAATGATGGGGAAAATTTTTGAAGAAATTTTAAGGTATTTAAAGACATATTTTAGGATTTTGGTTACTTACTCGTTTATTTAGTTTTACTTATAGAAAATAGTCCTTCGTATGTGAAACAGTAGCTAAACCTAAAAGATTTTTATTTTGTATTTTTAGTTGGGATGTTCCATTTCCACACTTAACGGATCTTAGCTTAAATGAGTATACATATATAATGGTCTCTTTTTTGTGTTTTACATTAGTTTTGTCTCTATTTCTTTAATCTTTATGCATCATTTCATTGTGAAGCATTTCTTCATTAAGTATTTGCTATTCCCAAATCCAACTATGATGGCATCTATCTACCTGGAACTAAGCAATTTCATGGGCCCTACCAAAGCCTTAAAAGAGAGCCAATGTGGCAGGGGAGTTGAGGAGTCATTG